AATGCCAGATGTTAAAGAAAAACAAAGTCTATTCTACACTTCCGGTGGTGTGGGTGTGGGTGTGGAGTGTGAGCAAGGGAGAAAAGCAGATTTTGGCGTCCAAAATCTTTCAAACTCTTTCAAAATCTCTCAAAATCGCTGAAAACAGAACAGGAAGTGATTTGCTTGGTCCGAGATCTTTTAAGTACTGTATTCCCTTAACTTAAAGGAGGAGCTTATGGATGAAATAAAATAAGTTTATGTACGTGTATGTATGCTTATTTGCCATCGCGTACCTTCATACATGTATTCGAAGTATTACATTGACTAAGATTGCTATGGGTAATAAGAAAGATCGATAATGAGATCGAAATTCGATAAATATGATTGATTATCATTGATTCGAATCATTGATTACCAATTCTACGTTTCGGCTTTATTTCGGTTTCAGCTTAGTTTTCAACCTTGTCTTATTATTATTAAATGGCTATAATTTGATATATATTGTTGATTAATGAGATTCTTTTCGTGCTTTTCTCTTGTTCGGTTGAATTGTGTAGCGAAATATCAGTCAAACAACTATTTTTTTGGTTAGAGTCTTGTACAGTCATCCTGCCAGTTATAAGATTCTCTGAGCATCGGATGTTGAGGATATTCAGTTGTCGACCAATCTTTTTTCTGACCGAAATTTTAGTCTTTAAGCTTTTTTCCGTGCCTGAGTTTTGTCTTATCATATTGTTGGGCAAGATTCTCAGCCTACCACATATGTTTAAGCTTTCATCTATAACTTTGATCCAGTCAGAGATTTTGTGCTTAGAAGTGACCGAGATAGATTAACTCACTATGCATATTTCGTCAGGAGTCGCTTTTTCTTTGTTCTGGTTGAGCAATTGGTTTCAGGATCACATTGGTACCCAGGACATTCAATCCGACGATAGGATCGACTCGGATCCTATAGGAATTCGATCGAATTTTATATGAATTTCCATCAATCCGACGAAATCCTATGAGAATCCTGGAAACGAATCGACCAACGGACCCTTCCTGTTGATATCCGATAGGATCCTACTATCGGAACTCAACGGAATCCGACGTCCCGTTTTGACTGATCTCTAATATTGCTACTAATTAGTTATAGGTGCTGAATTAATTAAATAGGTTTTTCCGTCCAATCCGTTAATGGGTTGGTTTCCCGGAACCCTATCGGATTTTATCGGATCCGATAGGTTCCGTTATCGGATTTATTCACCTGGGTATTTCCCTAATATAAATGCGATGCACTCTGTTTATAGACAATCTTATAATGACCCTGATACTTTCAAGTTTGAATCGAGAACCCTACAACTTACAATTCAGTCATCTTGGGAAAAAAATTACGATGTGACTTTCGCATTGTAAATGATACAGGATGATCATTTCAGGAAGCAGACTTTAGCAGGAGAGCGAATAGTCGTGAGTGGGTGCAAGAGAGGTGTCATCGAACACCTTGTCATCAACCTGAAAAGTTCACTGCAGTATGCTTTAGAAAATATCTACATAAAATCTAGTACGCTTTCTTTAACAATATTCCAATAAGATTCGACAATGAAAGATCGCAATTAGGAGTGGAACTTTAACTTTAAAAAGCTTTAAAAAGTAGTTAAAGTTGAAGTAACTATTTAAAATTTTACACTTAAAGTTTAAATTGACATACTTGATAGTTTAACTTTAAAAAAATCAAATTTTTGAGTACACTTTTTTAAGATCTTTATTTTATAAATATTAATAATTTTGATCATTTGTCCAGTTATCTCAAAATAAAGGGTGGACCAGAATAATGCACTGTGTTTTGCGTAGTATTTTCTCATTATTTAAGCTTTCGCCCCCACTCCCGTTGCCGGCGCACAAAAAGTCAGTTTTCGTCAGAATAATCAAAATTGGGATTAATGCATGGGAAGATAACCCGTAATATTTTTTTTTATCAACGATCAAAATTTTTACTCGATACCTCGTTGTTTTCGATAATTTTGATTGTTTTCGTCATCCCTCCATCGAAAAATGAGCTTTTTTCGGAAGAAAACAAAAAATATCTTTCGTTTTTTTCTCAGTATGATTTTTTTGACTGCTCAATCCAAATTTCTTTGTTCATTCTGATTTTCTACATTTAATTTCTTTCTGTTTTGAAGAACAGGATACGCTGCACTGTAACACAGTCCTGTTTGTTAATTAAGATATTCTGGGTTATATTTATACACACTACATAAGTAGACACCCATTACTACGGGTTTTCTGAGTCATTGAACTTGTTTTTCCCTTTCTCTACTTAAAGAATAAGAATTTAATGAAAGATCCTCTATCACACTGCACTAAGAAATTCTCTTTCACACAAATGAAGTATTAAATAGTGATATAGAATGAGCCCAAGCGGAGAAAGAAAGTAAGTCACATTACGAATCTAGCATCGCAAAAATCTGAACCTAATTTTGCTAACCTGAGAATCAACATTGAGTCCTCAGTACTACTCATAGGATTTTTACTTTTTTCACAACTCAATTATTTCTCACCAACAATCACCCTCAAGTGTGGAGAAATTTTTTTATCACCTTTCTATTACAAGTTTTCATGGTTTGATAGAGGTAAGTGTGCTGATAACAAATACCATACTTTTTTCGAAAGAACTCAGATAATAAGAAAGATCTGAAGCACTCTCTGAAAGCCTGAAAAACAGTTCTTGAGCTGAAAGTTCATTAAAACACAAACTAGGTCCTTGAAAAATAGGTTCATTTCCTGCAAAATTTTACTTTTCTATCAGAATCTATGAAAGTGTCTTAGATGTTCAGTATTTCTCCATCAAAAAGTGCCAAATATCTCCCATATTGGATCTTGCCATGGTTGGGAGTGTTTTTTTGAACGTTATAAAGGTATAGGTTTTATGGGCGTGCCAGCTTGATGTTTTTTACCGAATACGTAATTCAATCTACTCCTTCTGTTCATTCGATTTTGATCTTGAAATCCGACGTCTAGTAAAGCACTTTTGTCCTAACCAAGGTACTTTATAGCCAATATCTGTCTTTTTTGACTTACTTTCGATGAGTTTTGGATAGAAGTGATCCCTGTTGACATGAAAAGATGCTATATTTGGAATCAGTACCCGAAAGTCAATCAACGCATGCATGCTTCGAATTCTTTCTGGAACCTCTTTTTCAGTTAAATTTTGACCCGTGGTTTTTCTTAAGAATATAAGAGAAAATGAATTTTATTAAAACCATCATTTAAATATCTATGCATCTATAATTTGCTTTTCAAATAACATTTTACAAGTCCAGAAATACTTTTCCACTGACCAAACGTTTTTCTGATATAATACATTTTCCCTTATATCTCTGACCGAGACCATGGGTGAAAATTTGTCAGAAAAAAATAGCGCAGAAACAATTTGAAACACGCGTAATTGGACTAAGTTTTTGTGCTGATTTCAAATATGGTATTTTTAAAATTAAACCTAGTTCGTTCTACTCTAAAATCATCGATTACTAACCCAAAATGACTCTCAAGTATACTAGGGGTAGCACAAGCACTTTACTGAGCATTGAATTTCAACTTGAACATGGTGTCATCAGAACGAGAAATTTGAATTACGTATCTAGTAAAAAAAATCTCCTGGTTCACCCGTATAAAATGTAAGTTTAAAAAACCGAAATAATCATTATTTGCAACAATATGACCCAATCGAGACGGTATTTCCTAATTATCTGTTGAAAAAGGTGTGAATCCCATGTCTACTCGAACGCTATTGGTACTCGTGCCATCACACTTTGTACAAGTGATATCACGCGTACATCACGCNATCAAGATCTATTTCAAATCCAAATTTGAAAATCATTTTTTTCTCGTGCTCCTAAGACAGACTACAGCCTTGATTTATCAAATATCCAATATCTATGTTCCAATAAATTAAGAGCTCAAACTTGTTAGCTTATTAGGATCTACATAATTTCCATAGTCTTCAATTAAAAGCGATTAACTCGTTACGAAGATCTTCTTATGAGAAAAATTTTTTAATCATTGTCCTACTCTACTCTACACATCTCTCATTTTCAGTATAGAGAAATACATTGTGTTTTACCTTGTCAGCTTTTGTTAATGGTTGTGAAGTAAGATTTGATCTAAATTATATTTAAAAAACAAGTGAAAGTCTACTTTTGATTCTTAAATACTTACATTGTGCTGGATGATGGTTCTTCTAGTGAAGATTTTGTTGTTGTTTTTGTAACAATGGAAGAACTAATATATAAGAAAAAATTGATGAATTAACAAATTAAACAAACACTTACATAGTTTCATTTGATGTTTTAGTCGGTTTTTTAATATCTTCGTCTTCATTATCTGATGGTACATCAGGATCACCCATTGCTTTTCGTCGTCGTAGAACAGCTTTTTCAAGTTCTGACATTCCTTTTTGTGCGCCACCAAATATCGATATACCACCGATATGTTTTTGTTCTTCAGGTTCATTCGATTCTTTAGATGTTAATGATTCATTATCAAAATTTTCATTATTATTATTATTATTATTTTCAATAACAGCTTGAGGTTTCTTAACAGGAATACCAAACATACTATCTTCATTATCTGATTCTTTATAGAAAGATATTCAAACAATAGATGAATATAAAAAATAATTTTTTTGGTTTTTATTACTAACCTTGAGAAAATTCTTCTTTTTTAGGTTTTGTAGAAACTGTTGGTTCTTCCGATAATTCAGTATAGACTGTTTTTTTCGGTGAAAAATCATCAAATTTCGGACCAGTATTCATACCAAATGGATCATCTTCATCTTCACTCTCCGTTAATACAGTTGTTGTTCGTGTAGGTGCTGGTCGATTAACTATATCTATAGAATATCATTAGGAAAAAAAAATATATACAATAATATTTAAAGTTTCTATTAAAACCTGGACGACTAGCACCAGCTGGAACAATTGGTACTGATGATACTTGAACTTGCTAGAATAACAAAATATAAAAATAAACAAAAATTATGAAAAGAAATCTTTACAAAATCTTCATCTTCTTCATCTCCTTCATCCGAACTGGATAATGCCTAAGGAAAATTTAAAAAAAAAAGAATAATTTCATTATTATTATTGATTGAAAATAAACGAAATTTACTGAATCTGAGTCAACTTTTGCTATTTGTTCAACATCATATGTATCTTGATCATGTACATTTAATAAATCACCTAAACCAACAAAATCATCTTGCATAAATTCAGTTGTACCAATAAGGTATGGTAATGGTCGAAATATATAAGGATCTTTTGGTTCAAGTATAGGTTCAATTGGTACACCAACATCTTCATCATCATCAACAATAGATGAAACACCATTTTGAATATTATCTAATTTAGCTTCAACACGTTCAAAATGTGTGTCAAGAATAGATAAACCATATTGAATTGCTTCAACATAACGTTGTAAAACTTTTTCTTGTGCTTCACTATTACTAATAGAAGTTTTTTCCTAAAGAAGAAAATTATTTTTTTTTTGAGCTTAAACAATGGAAAAATGTTTCAATAAATATATGAACAAAATCATTCATTAGCGATATGACATAAGAAAAAAAAAAGGAGATCGACTTTCACTTCATATATAGATTTTATTTTAAACTTTCCTTAAAAAGTTACAAGCATTTTATAGAAAAAAAAAAGTGCATTCTTATATTCATAAGTTCTTAACATAGCGCATATTACGAATTGTTAACTTTCATCTTAGACTCAATGACTTTAAAGATATCTATACTTTTATTAGATGTATGTGTTTTTTTTATTAATAAACATCTTTCTTACTGTAGATTGTTCATCTTTTTTAGATGTTTTTGCATTCACTGTTTCATCTTCATCATAGACACGCTAAACAAAAGAGCAAAAAAAGAAACAACGAACAGATTTATAATTAGTTTAATATTAAATGGAATAGAATTTTAGGTTTTTTATTAACTTACATTTTCAATAAATTGTGTATTAGCTAATGATGTAAATTCATTAAGACAATTTTGAACACGTGTATGTGTACTCTAAAATAAACGAAAAATATTAACTAATATATTATTTATATATAATTTTATTTGACATACTTTAACAGCATTAACTGTTTGATTTAAATGTTGTTGAATAGCATCAGCTCGTTGAACTAATGTATCAGAAAATTGTTCCAAATGAAGTAATAACTAGACAATCAATTGAAAGATTATGTTTATTTATTTTAAATAGATAAAAAAAGAAAAAGTTCGTTACTTACACCAGCATCACCAGCCAATGACCACTGGGATGCCTGTTCACGCATTTCGGTTACTGTCCATGGATGCAGCCAAATACGATCTTGACCACCAGGAGCAGCTACGCTTGTGGTTGTTGTAATTACTGGTTCTGAAGGAGGGAGTGGTGGTACTGTTGATTGTGAAGTGGTCGTTTCAGTAAGAAATGATGGTGGAGGTGGAGGAGGTGGTGGAATTTGAACGTCCATTAGAAAAACTTAAGTGTAGTATTTAGAAAAAACAAAATACGAATTAAAATAGTGTTATTCTACACAGGACATCTACAAAAAAGAAAAAGTTAGAGGTATATGCATCTTTATTCATTCTTATCTAAGATGGAAACTAAAGGTGATGAGTGAATTTGAAATGTATGCACGAAAAAAGAAACAAAACGAGAGAAAAAGAGAAAGAAATTCTATATCTGTAAATTTACAAGAGTTTAGACAAAAATAAGAATAAAAAAAAAAAACACTGAAGTAAATTTGTATGGATGAGTATGTAAAAAATTTTGTAGTTTGTTTCTTTTGCTTTATGATAAATTTATCTTTGTTGAGAAGAAAAGAGATAGAGACTAAAAATAAGAACAAATATAATTATCTCGACTTGACAATAAAAGAAGAACGTAGTATGGAATATGTTATATAGATATTACAAGATTATGTTAATTGTAATAGAGTCATGATCATTTGCTATTAATAATTTTTTTTTCTTAGTTGCCAAACAGATTATTTTCTTTGTTTAATTGAATTGGTTTATGAACGATATTCATCCTTATTCAATAAATAAATTGTGTGAGATATTCGTACAACCAATATTTCGTTGTCAAACATGATTATAGTCAATCATTTTTCTTTTGTTCTAAACAACATTCAAAACGAATGACATTCGTTTCTCTATCAATGTACAGTGAATTTCCTAAGAAAAAAGAGATTCGAATTGTTTCTATTAAGAAAACAGCCACAAAAAAAGTCGTGCGGTAGTCATATACATTTCTATTGGACTTTTGACTAATGAAGAATTTATATCTAAATCAAATATTTTATCACATACTATCAATTGAATGTTTTGATAATATCTAATTATTTTACGTGAGTAAATCTGTGATTGATTATATGTACGCGAATGTAACCAAAGATAGATATATGTAATTAAGTTCTTGAGTTCATACTTTTAATAATTCTTGTTTCTACTACACTTTAAATTTCGATACTACGCAAACATTGATTACTATCAAATCATAGATATGAGATAAAGATTAATATTGTCAAGCACAAATTTGTAGTCATTTATTTTATTTTATATTTATATTCGTTTATTAAAAACTGACCTGAATAGAATAGTTTATGTCAATGAAAATATCTACAAAGATAAATTTCATATAATTTTATAATAGTTTTTTGTAGTAAAATATAGTTAAAATATTTTTGCAAGTCACGCATTTCTATGCATGTTATAAAACTAGTATAATATTTTATATATTAGCTCATAGAAAAACAACACATTTTTTTTTTGCAAGATAATTTAGATAAAAGATAAAAAGGAACCATTTCGTTCCATCAAAATAAATAATTTTAAAAAGAAAAAGAAATCTTTGATTGGTAATAAAATCTTCACCAATAATGTTTTAATTTACTTATAATTAATAATTTATTTCTCTACAAATAAATTTTTCTTTTTTTTTTAAGAAATAAAATAAAATATTTTTTATATAAATTAATAAAAACAATAATAGTGACCTCTATAAGCCTACCTATTTTTGTTTATTGTTCACTATCAATTCATTTCATCCGATCTCTTTAATATAATAACATCATCAATGTTATCCCGTAGCAGCTGTTCGCTTATTTCAAGCTTTGAAAAAGTATTTAAAAACAAAAAAAAAATTAATTAGAAACTTTCTTTACTTTAATTATTCATTTAGTTTGCTTGTGCTACACAAACAATTTCATCTGTTCGACATCTTCATTTAACTCGAACAGTTTATGCAGGAACGAAATCAAAACAAGTATGATGAAGGGTTTTTTTTTATTGTAATCTTATTACTTTTGTTTTGTTTTATTCCAGGTGTCATTATCACGTCTTGAGCCTAATAAATATATAAATTATGAAAAACATGCAGCAAATTTGGAAGTTGTTAAAAAACGGTAATATTTCGATTAGATCAAAATTATCTCTATAAAAAAACACAAATTGATTTGTTTTTGCAGACTTAATCAACCATTAACACTTTCAGAAAAAATTCTTTATTCGCATGCGGATGATGCAAAAAATCAAGTAAAATTTAAATAAAATCAAAAAATTTATTTGTAAATTTTTATTTTAAATAGAATTTTGAACGTGGTAAATCATATCTTCGTTTACGTCCTGATCGTGTAGCTATGCAAGATGCAACTGCACAAATGGCTGTACTTCAATTTATTTCATCCGGTTTACCAAATGTTTTATGTCCGACTACAATTCATTGTGATCATTTAATTGAAGCACAGATTGGAGGTGAAGAAGATTTAAAACGAGCAAAGGTAATAGAATAATCAATTTATTGAACAATTTTCATTCAATAATGTTCTCCTTCTTTGTAAAATATTTAATCATTCATTATGTCCCTTGTATTACGAGATGCTAACGAATGTTTCATTTATTTAAAATAATTAATTTTTGCGAACGATAGAAAAATTAATTGACACTTTCTCCAAATAAATCTCAATTGTTTCAAGAATGTTTTATATTAATATACGAGTATATCCTTAATGAGTCATGCGTCATTGCTTAACAAATGTTCTTTATAGGTCAATGACTAAAGCATAATATCACTATCTCGTTTTCATACGTGATCACTAAAGCGCATCATAATGTGTAAAATATTCAATAGCTGTGTCAGAAAACAGTATTATGCTTATGGAATATTACAATTTAATTAATGTTTTTAATATGTTTAGGACCTAAATAAAGAAGTATATAACTTCTTAGCAACAGCAAGTGCAAAATATGATATTGGATTTTGGAAGCCTGGCAGCGGTATTATTCATCAAGTATGAAAAAAAGAACACCTTGAAAAGAAAAATAAACAAACAACAAACTTTATTTTTTTATCTAGATTCTTCTTGAAAACTATGCATATCCTGGTTTATTACTTATTGGTACTGATAGTCATACACCAAATGGTGGTGGTCTAGGTGGACTTTGTATTGGTGTTGGTGGTGCTGATGCTGTTGATGTAATGGCTAATATGCCATGGGAAGTTAAATGTCCAAAAGTAAAAAAAACGAAAAACAAATCATATTATTTATATGGTTAGAAATTTGTTTTTCTTTCAAGGTCATTGGTGTTCGACTTACAGGTGAATTAAGTGGATGGACAGCACCAAAAGATGTTATTCTTAAATTAGCCGGTATTTTATCAGTCAAAGGTGGTACTGGTGCAATCGTCGAATATTTTGGACCTGGTGTTCAATCGATATCGTGCACTGGTAAATTTAGTTATTTATTGTTTTTTTTTTCACAAAATTTATTAATTTTTCTATTTTTTTTATTTATATTAGGAATGGCTACTATTTGTAATATGGGTGCTGAAATAGGAGCAACAACATCAGTATTTCCATATAATGAACGTATGGCTGAATATCTTAAAGCAACAAAACGTGAAGGTAAAATTTATTTTCGAAATATATATATATATAATTAAAAACTAAATGTATTGTTTTTTGTTATTAGATATTGCTAAATTTGCTAATGAATATAAAAATGTTTTATTAACTGCTGATGAAGGTGCAAATTATGATCGTATTGTTGATATTAATTTATCTGAAGTAAATATATATATATATATATATAGATTTGTTTTTTGAACGAAAAAAAAAATTTTTATTTAGCTTCAACCACATGTTAATGGTCCATTTACACCTGATCTTGCACATCCTATTGATAAATTAGGTCAAGAAGCAGTAAAAAATAAATGGCCACTTGATATTCGAGTTGGTGAGTTGACCTTCGAAAAAAAAAAATTCTTTTTCTATTTTTTATTTCATAGGTCTTATTGGTAGTTGTACAAATAGTTCATATGAAGATATGACACGATCAGCTAGTATTGCTCAACAAGCATTAGAAAAAGGTATTAAAGCTAAATCAACATATACAATCACACCAGGTTCCGAACAAATACGAGCAACAATTGAACGTGATGGCATTGTAAGATTGTAGTTGTTTTTTTTTTTGTATATAAGAAAATTTATTTATTTTTTTGTTTTTGTATTAAAAAGGCTGAAAAACTTCGTTCTATTGGTGGCATTGTTTTAGCTAATGCTTGTGGGCCATGTATTGGTCAATGGGATCGTAAAGATGTTAAAAAAGGTGAAAAAAATACAATTGTTTCATCATATAATCGTAATTTTACTGGACGTAATGATGCTAATCCTCAAACGCATGCATTTGTTGCATCACCAGATATAGTTACAGCTATGGTTTTAAGTGGTGATCTTCGTTTTAATCCATTAACGGATTATTTAACAGCTGCTGATGGTAGTAAATTTAAATTAAAACCACCATCGGGTGATCATTTACCAGCTAGAGGTTTTGATCCTGGTGTTGATACATATCAAGAACCACCAAAAGATGGTTCATCACTTAAAGTTGATGTTGATCCAAAGAGTACACGTCTTCAATTACTTGAACCATTTGAAAAATGGGATGGAAAAGATTTTATTGATTTCCCAATACTTATTAAAATCAAAGGAAAATGTACAACAGATCATATTAGTGCTGCTGGACCATGGTTAAAATATCGTGGACATTTAGATAATATTTCAAATAATATGTTTATTGCGTATGTATAAATATTAGATTTGTGTATTGATGCAAAAATTTCAATTATTGATATGAAACAGATTAAATTGTGTCTCGAAGGACTGTATGAGTAATGGTTTCGTGACGATATGACGTGCCCAGGAAATTACACTAACATATTTTACTTTTCTTTTCTTACGTTATCAAGTATTTAGTACAAACCTATGTAATGATTTGAATGATTAATGAAGTTCTCTATCAAATATATTTTATAGTGAAATTTCAAGATTCCGGAAGCCTATGTGAAAATGAATTTCTAAGAGTATAAAATGAAGGGTTGCCGAATTTCTTATGACGTTCCTTTAAAAAGTTATAAGTATTACCGAAAACATGTATTCTTGAGCAATGCTAGTATAAATTTCGTTTTTTGATGCTAATAAGTTTTTCAGGAAAGGTCGTAGAAAAAGTGGCAATCTCTTATTTTAGTAATGATTTTGTGCTTCTAAAAGCTCATTTTCATATAGTTTTCTGGAGTTTGAAAACTACTGTGTTTTGATTTTTCTACCATCAGCAGTTAGACATAAAAAATCAAAGACTCTCAGAAAATTGATTCGTCTATCAGACTCTGTATATCTATATTCGATACTTATTTTTGCAAAACAAAACTTTTTTCACTTGATAAATAAATGATGATGTAAGGATCAAAATAATATTGTAAAACGTCATAGGTCTAGCAAAATATCTATTTAAGGTTCTGATAGATGCAAATATTTTATGAGAATCATTGATTTTTTACAGTTTGGCTATTGATGGAAATGTCCAATTACACTAGTAAAATTTTAAAACATTTTTAGTCACGGTGTAGTATCACATAGTTTTCATTATGTTAATGTTATAAAGAGTAGCTCGAGGTAAAGAAAAAAAACAAAAATATGATCTAGAGCAGATGGTCTAAAATAACAATTTCAAAAGTAAAAATGACGAAAGTGAAAATCTAGAATTGTCGATGTGAGTATGTGGATCTTCTCTTCTCTTACATCTTTGCTGATCTATGTTTTGTTGAGAAAGTTTTTAATTGTCTTTCATTCGTTCTTTTTCAAATAAATTAATTTTATTTCCTAATCTGTTTATATGCTCAATGAAATGAAAAATATACTGTAGTTTGTATTGAAATTTCTACTTGTGACTAAAGTTGAGATGATGTCTATAAGTAATAGTATGCATATGACATCTATTCTTGTTTTCAAACAGTCATGTGTCTGAATACCTTTGTTTTGAATAACTGTCTATAGAAACCTGCGCCTTTCATCACTTAAGAGAGAATACTCGAGGCTATTTACACACGTCAAAATCTGATTGGTCGACAACTACCTTATCAGGTAAATTGTCTGCCGAGATTTTCAAAAAGATATTCTGAAGCTGTTTCAGATTGAATTTTGGCTTGAAATACAATCAATCGATAGGAAAAAATATTCTCTATCGATCTAGGCAAGCTTCAACTTTCTAGCATATTCCATTCAACAATTACAAAAGTTTTTTCGAGACTCTCAATTTCAGCCAAGTGACCTTGAATATCTTCAAAAAAGCTTAAGACTATAGTAATTCATCATGCTCAATAAAATAATGATGTTTGTTTTTAGTTTCAAAACGATTTGAGACCATTTTTCCAAGGTTTTTATACTATGTAGAAGAAAATTGTGAAATTTCGAAAATACTAAAATAATGGTTTCAAGTTGCAGCTTTGAAACTAGAAGCAAACATCATTGTACAAGTCAGCATGATGAATTACCCTTGTCTTGAACTCTTTTGGAGTTTCCTACGGTCGATTTGTGGAAATCGAAAGTCTTGGAAAACTCTTGAATGGAATTTGCCTAGATCGAAAAAGAAGAGTTTTTCCGATCGATTCGTTATATTCCAAGTCAAAATTCAATGAGAAATAACTTTTGAATACCTTTTTTGAAAATCTAAGCAGATTCTTCATCTGATTGGTTAATTATCGACCAATCATATTTCGATGGCTTAGAGAGTCCTCTATTGAATGGTAAAAAAACCCGGTTCTCCATGTTGTTCTTGTGACAAGTCATTCAAGAAACAAAAACAGTCACGCTCATTGATTTTTTGAAAACGCCATTAGGTTGAAATACAAAGATAATAGTAGTCTTAGTAAACATTTTATGGATTGTCATGGTGATATTTGAAGATATTTGCTTCGTGTAGAATTATTTATATTAAATATTAATGAAATTTAATATTTTTCTTTAGAGCTATCAATGAAGAAAATAATGAATCAAATAATATAAAGAATCGTTTAACAAATCAATGGGGTAAAGTACCGGATGTAGCTCGCTATTATAAGGTAAATAAAAAAGGATTGAATATCAATTTTATGAATATTTTTACTTATAAATTTATATATAAAGAGTAAAAATACTCCGTGGATTGCAATTGGTGATGAAAATTATGGTGAAGGTAGTAGTCGTGAACATGCTGCACTTGAACCAAGACATCTTGGTGGTCGCGCTATTATTGTTAAAAGTTTTGCTCGTATTCATGGTAAATCAAATTTCATTTTGTTTTTTTTTTAATTTATTTTATCTATTTATTTATTACTTTAGAAACTAATTTAAAAAAGCAAGGTTTACTTGCTTTAACTTTTGATAATCCAAGTGATTATGATAAGATAAAACCAGATGATAAAATATCATTAGTTGGTCTTAATAAATTAGCACCGAATGAAGTAGATTTTATATTGAAATTAAAGAAAAAAAACTGAAAATTCAATTTTGTTTTTATTTCTAGCCTGTTGAATGTCGTATTAAACATGCAGATGGTAAAACTGAAACAATTAAACTTAACCATACATTTAATGAACCACAAATCGAATGGTTTAAAGCTGGATCAGCACTTAATGCCATGCGTACTTATTTTGCATCGCAAAAAGACAAAAAAAAAGCATAGGAAACGCAACAGTTTAGTCCTTAAACATCATTAATAACTCTATATTTTTTTCCACAAGAAAATGTATTATCATATTTCTGCGAACACTAATATATTTAGTTATGGATATTTTTGATTCCCTACTTAGATTGTTTTCTTTTCATTTTTTTTTCAAATTGATAAGAAAAATAAACATCGACTGTTGGTTTTTAGATTCTTTAGTTTTTTGTGTGTCATTTTCTTTGGAATCTATCAATGGATGCATCATCACCTTCAACATCAAAAATTTTACATCAAACTCAATTAAAAAAATATTTTGTTGCAGCTAATGGTGGACATGAATTAACAACTGTTGTTGAACCAAATACAAAAACATGTGAGTAAAAGGGTACCATCGCCTTGGCTACCCACTGTGCACATCCAGGTGTACGAATTTTAAGTAGAGTGGAATAATGAAAATTCAAAAATTATTCTGAAAACACTACTATCGATGAGAAAATCAATTTTAAACTACCTGATAACCACGCCTAGTAAGTTTTCTGAATCTGAGTGTCGTCTGATATTGATCATCAAGGAAATCTTTTAATATGCATGTGTGGTGTTATGAGAAAAAAGTTTTTATACTAATTTTCGGAATGGGTAGGCTCTAATATGAATGCGCGCTTTTTAACGACGATTACAGATGTAAGCTGATCGACTGACGAAGCTATATGAACTGATGCCTGATGTTGGAGCTTATATTGGATCTAGAAAGATCTTTCGGTAAAATTAACAAATGTCTAAAAGGGTTCGCTTCGTAAGCCGTGGAAATCGACTTATGACCGTTTCAGTGACATGACTATGAAAATATTCAAATGAGGAAAAAAAAATTTTTTTTTGTCGAGATTAAGCATCTGCAAAATAGTCTTGGTTTCGGCAGGACTAAAAAGAATTTCTCATGGAATTCGGACCGGTGCTGTATACTTTTCAGCGAGTTCTGCAAAATTTTATTTTAATGAAGAATAGGATTCGCGTTTCGAATTTATTCTTTCATTTTCAAGTCGTAATCGAGCTATTTTTATTTTAAATATATTACAATACACCGTAAATGTCAAGAAATAAACACTGCAAATTTGAAAACAAGAAAGGAAAATGTATACATACAAAAATTGTAACAGCTCTTTCTTTGTAATGTATGCGTTCTTAACGAAACTTCATCATTGTTACTATCAATTATACCTTCAAAATAATGATTGTCTACTGATAACTTTTCATATAAACGTTGGTCATCGTTAGTTGTTGTTGAATCAGAATGAAGAAAATATAAATAGGAATCTGCAAAGTGGTCGCAGTGCCAATCACGAGAAGCGGGAACCTATAAATCTTCAAGCTGGTCCGGGCACATTTGTTTTTATCAAGAACTAGACTGCAGATTTTCATGTCTATTATTTTGTTCTGATTATGAATTTGCAAAGCAGCCATTTTTATTTACGCTTCCGATAAACATTTTTTCCTGATCTCAAGTCTGACTTCCATAATCGAGGTTTTGGATGACATTTATAAGTTTTTAAATATGTGTATTGGTACAATATTTATAAATTTGGTTCTATAGCACTTCAGCCATTCTGTTGATTGTACAGTTTTTTGGCATTGTTTTCCTACTTCAAATATAAACTCGTAAGTTTTTTTTATTGTACTTCACTATATTGCAAAAAGAACTTTATTATTACTATTTGAAATTACGTGTATAAATCGAAAAAGTTAAACTTAATCTTGCAAGAAATAGTTTATTTTTAGAAAAAAAAATCGGAAATCAGAAGCTACGCAAAACTTTAATCAGAACTATGACTGAGACCAGGACCGGGGCCAAAAAAAACGTGGTCTCGCTGATGCCTAGTCGAGAAGTTGTATTTCCAAAGAATGGTTGTTTGCCACAAATATCCAGTTTACTCGAAAATTCAATATCTCGATCATGCAACATTTTTTTTCCGTTGAAATTCAGAATGCTCTTCTAGTCATTCGACCTATTAATGAGCGAAATTTCAGATCGAAATAACATTACTTAATTTTTCGGTAAATACATAAAGCTGGATTGAAACCTTAGTAAAATGATCATGACTCAGCTTCAAAGGTCCATGGACACGAATCTTTTTAGGATTTTTTCAGTGTTATCAAAACATTCTTGTGAATTTAATATGAGCTCAAACAACGAAGTAGTTCCCTCGTGAGTCGTTGCCACCATCACGTAAAAATATATATTTGATTTATAAAAAAATTCAACATCTGAAATCAGTTTCTGAAGATGTCACCGCCTGTTTTTTTTTGTCAATGAGTTCTCTACTATCGTTTTCTCTTTCGCTTATTGAAAAAATTTACCTGCCACCACTGATTACTGTATTGGCTTACATCTCTAACATTAATCCAAATTCGCTCAAACTGTGTCAGAATGTTCTATTCTATGTTTTCCATCACCACAGTTAACATAAACACTCCTGAACCATACAGCAGATTTTCTAAGAAGCTCTTAAAAGTATTTTTATAAATAATATGCAGCTACTTGCGAGAAAAAAAGGAGCTGTTTTCAATAACAAAAGTTACATGTCCGTCTCCTATACAAACTGTATTCCTAACGCTGAATAAACTGCTGCAAGAAACATAAATAAATTCGACCTTATATTATTTTCTTTTGTTTTGCAGTAGATTTAAGTGCGACCGAAACAACAGGTAGTGGTAGTGATGATGAAAATATTACACCACCATGGCATAATGAAACAACAATGACAATATCTGCAACACCAGAAAAGATTAAAAAAACACAACAACGAAAAGCTAAATCTATAAAAAAATCATTAATAGAAGAAGAAGAAGAAGAAGAAGATGATGAAGAAACTAAAGCTTATAAACAACGACTTAGAAATGTAGGTTTTTGCTTATAAAATACGTAACTAAATAATCCAATATTTTTTCATATAGCAACCACGTAAAGTTTATAATGATGATGAGCCAAAACTTAAACAAACAATTATTGTAAGTAAAGATTTTTCTAATAGAATATAACATATAGAATTTTACTGAATTTACATCCGGACGGTTGAGACTTCTATTTAGAATTGAATCAAAATCGAAATTTTTTAGTTCAAATGACACTTGAAAGCAGTTTTAGTCTCGATAACTGCGATCGAAACTACAAAATTGTTCGAAGAGAAACTGAAAAAAAATACTTTACATGTTACATCGACAGCTCCGAAATGAAATCCAATCGAAATTCTGAAGACTTATGTCCACCGTTTGAGTTTACATTAAATCTACAACGACGTTTTGGTAAGATTAACAAAAATCTATGAGGTTTTGCTCTCATAGCCGAGTTAGGATCGTTCAGTAAAACGATCATAACTTGGCCATGAAGGTGAATCCTTTTCGAATTTTTGCTAATCATAATAAGGCGATCTTGTCGAGCCAATAGAAGCCTAAGCGGCAAATATCGACCGGTATGGTTTCCCTAGTAATGCATCAAAGAAAACAAAATATCCTATTACTGTTAGAAAGCAATTTCAAATCTTCGACAATATTTAATGAATGAATAAATATTTGTTTTAAATAATAGGATGTGGGACAAAAAATGCTCGATGCTATTATATGTAAACGTTGTGGTATGGCTTATTTTCCACATTCAGCTGAAGACAAAGCAGCTCATGCGAAATATCATAATTATACAACATCTGCTATACGTTTACGTGTAAGTGTTATAAGAGTGATGCTTGAAAAAAAATTGAATTTTTCTTTTTTTTTTTTTTTGCTTTGATTTTCAAGAATCTTAAGCATCAACATATATTACAACAATTTCTTGATGGAAGTATTTATATGATTGGTTGCACATCAGCATCAACTGAACAAAAAAAAGCTGAACATGTTAGAGAATTAATTGATAATGAATTAGGCATTACAACACCATTTAATTGTTTATGGAGTGAAACAAAAGTAAAAAAAAGAGTTTACAATTATTTAATGATGATTAAATTTTTATTCTTTTGTGTTTTAACAGGTATATTTTTATATTGAAGATTGTACTGATATTGTTCTTGGTTATTGTCTTGCACATATTGTTCATCGAGTAAGTTTTGTTATTTTTGAATTCAAAAATTTTAATTTTTGTTTTTCAAGGTTCATATACTTGATTTAAATGATGAATCAAATATTGATACACAAACTGAAATGAATAAAATGCTTTGTGGTATAGCTCGTATTTGGGTACATCCTGATCATCGTCGAGCTCGTGTTGCAACAAAATTACTCGATTGTGTTCGGTAATGATTGTTTTAGATCTTAACATATGAAAAAACAAAAAATTAAGAAATCCTCAAAATGATTAATCTCTCTTCTATAACATAGTAGACTGTTGCTGATTGTAATCTATGAATAGTAGCTTCAAAAATCGATAGATCATAATGAATTTTATAAAGAAAAGCTTATTATATATATATATGCATCTTTTTGTTTTAAGCAAAAAAAGACAGTTTTGTCCCCCCAATGGCGACTAAACATTTTTCATTATTGTAAGACTTTCTCTATATTATAGTGTATGTCTTATTAAAGTTCTACTGCATATCGCATGCATTGTTTGATAAAGGAAGTCTCTCTCTCTCTCTACAAGCCTATACATTATTCTGCTTTGTAGTGAAAATCTAGAAGCTGCTTTTTATCGCTGCGAACAAGATCATTGTTTTTCTAGTAACCGATCAAATGGCCTTTTTTATATCTCATCAATTAAAGAAAATTCTATGCATTGACGACAAATGCTTTTCATCAGAACGTATTCTATGCTACTAGCCGACAAAATGCAGCAGTATAAGACGATATAAATTAAAAAGCAATACATTTTATGATGTGATACGATGCTTCTAAAAATGCGTTTTTTTTACATCTGTAATTGTATTCGGATTCGATAAAACATTATCAAATGAGCATTATATTAAAGTAGTTTTTCAACATCAACAATCTAAAGATAAACGTTTGTTGATCGACAATGTCATCGATCAATAAAACAACGCAATGCTTCATGCAAAGCGAGGAACATTGACATAGTGCATTTTATAGATATAAATACAACGAACTAATAAATAATTCTAATCTTAAAGTTTTGAATAATTAAGTATGGGATGTCATCACTAATAAAAAGTAATAGAATCAAATAAAAAAATCATAATTCTTTATTAGCTGAAATAACAAAAAGAAATTCCCTATGTACTATAACTTAATCAAAGGTCGCATAGCGTTAAAATATTGATCGAAGAGAATTTTAGTCTGTTTTTATCTAAAACAAAAAGGGTATATATCTAAGACAAAGCTTTTCTTTTTATATTGTAAAACTTTTCTCGGTACGTCCGGTGGTATATATATTGTTTTCTATTAATACGTATTAGGTGATGAAAACATAACAGACAAAAAGGCGGTCATCTACTATAACACAGTCGTTACATAAAAGTCAATAAAAAAAAAATATCTTTCTTGTTTTATTATATCAGAAATAACTGCTATTCATAATAGAGTTTATTAAATAGTCCTGCAAAACATGAACTTTTATTTATTTTTTTTTGATTAATTGAAATGTTAATAAGCTAATAATTGAATAGTATTTAATATTGAGTTATACCTTTGAAATAGTTGAGATATGATATTCTTATCGTCATATATTCATTCGGTGGTAATATCATTTTGAGTAATTGAAAAAGAGTAAATATATCTGATTGATCATATTTCTTTTTCTTAGAACAAATTTTTTCTTTGGTATTGTTATTAAACGTGCTGATTTGGCTTTTTCGGCACCGACTGATGATGGGCGTCAGTTTTTCAAGAAATATACACGATCAAATCGTTTATTTATCTATTGAAAATAGAAGAATAAGATTACAAAACTGATATATTTGTTTGTAAATTTTGTCAGATAAATAATATTGTCTTCTATATACTTACTATTTTTTTCTCTGGTCTATATTGTATTAGATATTATCTTATTTTTGTGTTTCTTTAATTGTATATTTCCTCCAATAGCAATATTTTTTTTCGTATCTGATAAAAGTAATTCAATACATAGAGAAATATACATATATATATATATATATGAAAAATAAAATACTTTTCATTAGTCTTTTTTTTTTCCTTTAATTATATTCTGATAAATTTTTATGAATAAGATAAAAATGCATAATAATGTTCATTTTCGTAATTTGACACTTGAAGACTATCATCTATGCATCATAAAGCATCAATTCATTCAAATATATTTATGGTATTGAATAAAAGAGAATACAATGGAATATTAAGTACATGATGCCTAGAAGCAGATAAAATCTGACAGGAGGAACATATAAATGGTAAAAACAAAAAAAGAAGAAGAATGTAACATATTACTAAAAAGAAAATTGTTATTTTTCGGAAGTCAGGTGACATATTTTCCCTATGGGTTCTAATAAAAGAAGAAATATCACAGCTGTCGACCAATGCGATCAACACAAAGCTTAATAAATGACATGCTTTTTGTTTTCTATTTTTGATGATTTATAGTTTGCGGTCTATAGTTATTTCAAATAAATTCATATATTAATTTACAAACTAACAAAATATTTTCTTACAATTTCAAATGTTTTTAGTTTTTCATATTGAATTTTAAATACAATATAGAAAAAGATTATAATTGACATACACACATATATATATATATATATATTATTCTAGATTTTGATATTTGTTTTTTATTTCCTTCAATTCATTCCATGTTAATATCAGATCCAATTGGCAATGACAGTTGTTGATGAATTCGAATTCTACAATTATCGAAGGTACAGTCAAAAAACCAAACATATGTTATTATAAATCAAAAAAAACAAATATCATTTTCTTTCTATTATCTTTTCTTTTCTTCTATAATGAAGTGAAAGGATAAGTATGTGTGTACATCATATATTCAGCAGGTGTTTTCTGGCTAACTGATCAGATATATGTGTATAAAGACTACTTGATTATTGACATATGTACTACATTATATAGAAAACATTCTTTTTTTGCTTGTATAGAGACGACAAAATGAGCCTTCCGGAATCTTAATCAGTGCATTTGTTTTATGTCAAATCGGAAAAAAGGTCTTAATATTTGTTCCTCTATTTTGTCAGTAAAATCATCGTGCAATCTCTAGACAGTAATTACGTATAACATTAATATGAAGACTAGAATATATATATATATATATATAGATGATTGCTCTTGTTATATCTTTCAACAGAAAGCTGAATACAAACGTGAGGAAGCTAACAAATACTATTATATAATCCTTTTCTATCTTCTATTTTCTATTCCTATGATAAAAACTGCGTAATAATAAATCGACATCAACCACCACTTGGCATATAACACGTGAATTAGTCGCAATTCGCTTGAGATAAACATTTCATTATTGTTATTGCTAAGGTCTGACTTTATTAATAAATTAGCTTTTTTTTTATCAATCATAATGTGATAGAAAAGATCGATGAGTTTTTATTCCAGTAGGAATTATTATATGTTATAAATAAAACACTGACTCTTTTTTGTTTGCTTATATTATAGATAAACAAGTAGACCGTCAATATAGAATAATGGAATCAAGTTTGACATCAAGTTTCCTTAAAATTGGTGATACAGTAGCTTTATATGCTGAAGGTACCGTTTGTGGATTTATAAGTACACTTGGGTATGATTGTTTATTTGTTTTCTTTTGATTAATATTTCAAATGAATCTCAATAGACTTGTTGATGATCGTTGTGTTGTTCAGCCTGATGCTGGTGATTTACAAAAACCACCAAAAAAATTCCGAGGTAAGAAAAACGAAAATATTATTTTTGTTTTTTTACAAATTTGATGATTATTTTTTTGTTTTTGAATAGATTGTCTTTTTCGTGTATGTTCAAGTCATCGTTATAGTGCTCAAGCTCAATATTGGAGTGCATTAAAAAATTCAAATAATACTCGAGATATAAAAAAATTGCAAATAGCTGCTGATACAGAAAAACGTCAAAATGAAGCTGAAAGTCGAAAACAAACTGGAACGATTATTAAATATGGTGATACGGTTGTACAATTACTTCATATTAAAAGTAATAAATATATAACTGTTAATAAACGTTTACCAGCTATTTTGGAAAAAAATGCAATGCGTGTATCATTGGATGTTAGTGGAACAGAAGGTTCATGGTTTCAAATTGAACCTTATTATAAACTACGTGCCAAAGGAGAACGAGTATATCATTTTTTTTTTGTTTTTATTTTTAAATCTCTATCGAAAATGAAATATAAAAAAAAAAAAATTGAAATTTTATAGGTTGTCGTCGGTGATAAAGTTGTACTTATGCCTTATAGTGGTGGACAACCATTACATGTCAGCGAATTAGAATTACCTGATAATCCTGGTTCAAAAGAAGTATGTAAAAGAAAGCAAAACAAAATTTTAATAATTTGTTATAAATGCAAAACAAAAAGAAAACAACCGAAAGAGAATTCATGAAAAATAAAACTTATTTTCTTGTAGTGTTGCAGTATTATTAATCTTCATACGGTACTAATTATACTATTTATAGACGAAAAAAAAAAAAATTTTGCATCTTGTTTTTAAATTTTATTTGAAGTGAAATGGAAAATTTTAGCTTATATCATGCATGTGCATATGATTGAGTTTTATTTCTTTTTTTTTTATTATTTAGGTCAATTGTCATTCATATATTATCGTACGTTAGATGTTGTATCTGTAGCTTTATTATTTTAACAAGACATATACAATGTTCTTTTTTTGTGTGTGTATAATAATGGAGTGCTTTTTATATTGCTTATAAGTAGATCTTTAAGACTTCCCACAGTGTGCTTTTTTCACATGCCAGGCAGACATATGACTTTTTTGTCTCGGAAATAATTGGCTATGACGTAGAAAAGTAATTTTAAGGAAAACAAGTTTTTCGATAAGAAAATGCGTGAGAGAGAAAGCTTTGCCATCACTTCTTTTTTCGAAAAGTTTGTTTTTGTTTTATATACCATTCGATGCAGTTTAATGTACCGATTCTGAATATATTAGTTTTGTTGATTAAATATTTTTCTAAAACCAAAAAAAAACTCAAAAACTTAGATTTTTTGGAAATTCATTCGGCAGTTCAGAAATATTCATTTTACAGAATTTTAGCTCTTCAAATGACAATAAAAAAAAATATTTTTTTACTCTTATATGGAGCAGGAAACGCGAATTTCGTCGTACTGACTTTCGCACTTGACTTTCGGCAATGGCGAAAGTTGTGTTTTTGTAGGACTTTCGACTGTAAACAGGGGGGAGGGATCTTTGGCAATAGCCAATAGTTCACTTTTGGTAATTATCAGACGTCTTGTTAAAAAATATTAGTCAACTAATTAATCATAGTAAAGAAACTATACTTTTGTCAATTATTTTAGTGAACTTTGAGCGATAGATGATCCCGAATTCTTATAAAAGCGTACTTAGCATCTTGATACATTCTCTCACACACCTCTTCCATGATCAATTCAAACTGTATGTGTTATTAGACGATAACATCACTCATAAGGTCTACTAATATTGTTTAAGGACTTCCGGAAACTTGAAATCGCACAATACTCAAAGTGTGGTTTCTTTACTGTAATTAATTGGTTGATTAATATTTTTATTAAGATCTCCGATAGTTGCCGAAACTCAACTATTGGCTATTGCCAAAGGTCCCTCCTGTTTACAGTCAAAAATTTTACAAAAACACAACTTTTGGCAATTGCCGAAAGTCAAGTGCGAAAGTCAATACGACGAAATTCATGCTATCCTATGAGCTCGGCTTGGAGATACAGAAAATGTATTTCATTTATCGGTCAAACAGTTTAATTTTGTCAGCGGTGCCATACCCCTTGTCAAAAATCTATTTTTGTCACAGAACAATCGATCTATCTGAAAACTGCAGGAAATATGTGACAAGACCAAAACAGCTTATCAAAAAGGAATGTCAACTAAAAACATTGAATTTTTCAAGAGTTATTCATATATTCAGAGTCAGATAGTTGGTCTCTGTATGTTTCATATTGTTTCCCAAAATCTAATGATATAGATCTTGGATTTTGATGTCAAAATGTAGCCAATACTTACTGCTACAACTTAACAGAAACCGATTATTTTTCTCAAGAACTAAGGCAAAAACAAAAAACCTGGCCCTGTTAAGTTATGAAGTACAATTTTTTCTTTAATTTAGAACTTTCGTGAACTTCCTAGCATGTAACATAGCTGAGAAATCTAGAATGTACTAGTAGAGAAATGTCAAACAAAGTTTATAATTGAAAATCAATGTTTCTGTTTAGCAAAAATGGTAGAAAAAACACATCATTCATAGTCTACTATGTATTATCTACAACGGTAGATCAAATGAAGAGTTGCTTGTATTTGTACAATGTCTAAAAATCGAAAGAATGAACATCGGTAGGAAAAGAAATACAGAACACGAGTCCACTTGATTGAAGGCTTGTAGTGCTTTTTATTTCACATATTTTTGCTTGATTCTTCACTGTGGTGAATCTTAGAAAAAGTTCAAAAGGCAATAGAAAACTAACATTTTCAGTCATTAATAAATTTTGTGTAAGAAATCATTAAAAAGTATTAGAACTTTAATAAATAATATTGTAATTGCAAAGTAGATAACGAGGACTATCTAACTATGTTAAAATCTTAAAATCGAATTTTTTGATGAAAATCATGATTTTTACCTGAGATGGTTTGAAGCCATTTTTCATATTAGATAGAAAGATAAAAATATATTTTTCCCATGAAGATCAACTTAGAAAGCAAATTATTAGCTTTTAAAACGAACAAAATAATGCATAATTTCGCTATCACTGTTTATTATAATGCACAATATCACATTTTTCTTTTGTGTTTCATAACATTATTTTACATTGTTGTTTTTTTTTTTAAATAGGTCAATTCTCATCTTCAAACAAGTTGGAAAATTGTTTTATTTATGTCATGCCATGAAGCAACAAATGAAGTATTAAAAAGTGTACGAAAGTTTTGTTTCAAAAGATATTCAATTAAAAAAAAAAATATTTTTTTTTTTTGTTTATTATTTTTTTTTTTTGTTTATTATTTTTTTTTCTGAAATTTAGGGTGATATTGTACGTTTATTTCATGCTGAACAAGAAAAATTTTTAACCTGTGATAATTATCGAAAAAAAAGTGTTGTCTTTTTACGTGCAACAGGACGTGCATCAGCAACATCAGCAACATCATCAAATGCTTTATGGGAAATCGAAGTTGTTCAACAAGATCCATGTCGTGGTGGTATTGGTCATTGGAGTTCACTATTTCGTTTTAAACATTTAGCTACAGGACAATATCTTGCTGCTGAAGTTGATAATGATCAAACATTTGATGCAACACGACAAAAATTACGTGGAACATCAAGTACACCTGTATTTGCACTTATACCTATTCCACATGCATATGATATATCATCTTTATTTGAACTTGATGCAACAACAATAACACGTAATGACGATCCTGTATCATGGAGTTCATATGTACGTTTACAACATATATGTACAAATACATGGGTACATTCAACAAATATTAAATTAGATCCTGATGATGATAATGTACGTTTTAAAATTGGTTGTGCTTTAATGAAAGAAGATAGAGAAGCATTTCAAATAGGACATGTTTCACCAAATGAAGTACGAGATTTAGATTTTGCTAATGATGCTGCTCAATATTTGGATACAATTGTATCAAAATGGGACAAATTTGGAATTATGAATGTACAAGCTAATGAAAGAAAGTAAGTCTTATGAATTAAATTTATTTATATAAAAAAAAAATTGTTAACAAATAAATTAATAAGTTGCTTAGCAATAGATTCAATAGTTCGATATCTTCTTCGGAACTATAGTTAGCCGTAGCTCTGAAAAGAAAGTCGGTCTGACACACAGTTCTTTTGCTCTTCATACATACTAAATACAAGAATAGATGTAAGATCATTCCATATTTTAAAAATAAAAATTTCTGTTACACAACATAAAAAGGCTCTTAGCACGGATACAAACTCGAAATCTTTTTATAGAATACCTGGTTAATGATACGAAGTTTTACACAAAGTACCTTGTAGATACGTGTCAAACAATGTAGCCGCTCAACCATAGCAGCGAAATTAAAATTAAAGAAAAATTGTAGTATCTAAGTTAGTTATAACTTGAAAAGTATTACCTATTGTAGTTGTCATCCTTGTTTTTATGTCGAAAATATAAATAGAAAATTCTGAGATAGAAAACAAAACAAAAAATTCAAAGAATCTACTTTAAGAAATCCAAAAGCTTTGGTTTCTACTAAAATTTTTCAACTGTCTATACACGCGTTCGCTCTCAAAGGACTAAGGTTACATTAGTTACACATAAAAAAAGTACACGTAGTATTATTCACAGTTATAAGAATAAGGTTTTTTTTTTCTTCTGTGATATTGAATAACTAAGTAAAATTTTAATAGTGATTTTCATAGGAAATAAAGTTCTGTATCTGATGTACTTATGTATCAAAGCTTTATAGTTGAACTATTTAGGAAAGTTTTCTAAGTAACTGAACACGATAGTTTTTCAGATTTCAGAATACATTATGGAAGTTAGTTTTAAACATTTTTCATCTGAAAGAGCATAACGTTCTGAATAAAATTAGTGGTTGTTGCGTTCTTTACGACCTTCTTTTACAAAGTTACAAGCGTCACCCACAATATGTATATTTCAGAGATTTTTGCTAAATTTTGGTTTTTTGTGATGCTTGTAACTTTGTATGGGAAGGTTGTAAAAATCACGACGACCTCTCCTTGTTTTTCAAAATTTTGTACTCTTTCGCATGGCACTGCTAAAAAGGAATTTTCATAATATCTTCAGAAACCTGAAAACTATCATGTTTAGTTTTCTGGCACACCTTCTCACATAATTCAACTATAAAGTCTTGAGACATAATTCAATCTGATAGAGAACTTCATTATCTATTCAAATCCCTATTTGAATTTTCCTTAGGTACGTCTCTAGACACAATATATTTTTCGATATTTGCCGAAATTCATACTATCCGTAGTACGCGCTATATTTCTTAATATGTTTATTTTAGGCAAGTGATGTTATTATTAAGTGATATAATTTATTTTCTTGCTTGTCAAGAAAATAATGGAAGTGATGCATTTGATGTTCAAATCTTAAAACCAAATCGTGAAAGACAAAAATTAATTCGTGAACAAAATATTCTCAAACAAGTATTTAGCTTTTCTGTTTTTGTTTTTGTTTAATTTTATTTTAAAAAGAAAAAAACAATTATTTTTCGTTTTTTTTTAATAGTTATTTCGAATACTTCGAGTATTAAAACCACGTTTAGAACTCGAACGATCAAATACAAAATCAGTAAAAAGTTCAGATTTTTCTCATACAAATTCTCCTACAATGTTAAACAATGATCAATATATTTCATCATCATCACAACAACAAGATGTTGATGCACGTTATTCAACAATAACATTTCAAATGAAAACAATTTGTCGTCTTTGTTATCGAATACTTAAACATTGTCAACAAGAATATCGAAAAAATCAAGTAAAATTATTTTCTTTTTCTTTTAATCTTCTTAAAGTAAGAAAAAAAATCTTTTTCTTTTTCTTTTTTGTATTTATTAAGGAAACAATTGCAAAAGAATTTTCATTTATGCAATCTCAAATTGGTTATGATATATTAGCTGAAGATACAATAACAGCATTATTACATAATAATAAAAAATTATTAGAAAAACATATAACAGAAAAAGAAATTGATACATTTGTTAGATTATTAAGAGAAAAACGAGATTGCAAGTAAAAATTTTGATTCTTAATTTTGATTTTTATTTCAAAATAATTATTAACCTTTTTTTTTTCAAAGATTTCTTGAATATTTATCAGATTTATGTGTATCAAGTAATCAAGCTATAGCACGAATACAAGAAATGATATGTAAATCAGTATTAGAAAAAAATTCTGATATTTTAATACGAACAAAGTTTGTTATTTATATGAAATAATTATTTCTTAGAAAATCTTGGTTTTTTTTTTTCTTTCTTTATTCATTTAAATAGACTTGAACTAAGAGCATGTGTTGAAGATATGGTTTTAGATGATAATATGAGTTCACCAATTGGTTTGTCAAGTCAAAATATATTACAAGAAGTTCGATTAGCATGGGATGGAAAATCAGAATCTATTGAATACATGGCTGGTGTTGTAAGAGATCAATCTTCACATAAAAGACGAGAAGAATTTAAAAATATTCTTGAATATTATAGGTAAAAATATGAATATAAATACTTTTGAATAAAGATATTTGTTTAATATATATTCAAAATAGTTTATAGTTTCATAGAAAAAATTATTCAATAATCAAAAAATTGATCTAATACATGAGGAAAGTCATGGCAAATAAATCTATTCAAATAGAATTGTATTGAAAACGAATCATTCACTAGCAGAGCTTGGCAAGTACGTCGAGTACGTATTCGTATTTGTCTAGCTCTGTTCACTACTGTATCACTGGTGTTCTAATGGTAAATTCTAAGTACATCAAGTAACCATCATTTTCTTTAATAAGTTAATTGATAAAGCGTATAGAAATATTTCTTGGATAAATATTCATTAAGTATCAGTGAAGTGCTGAAGATAGAATAATTAGAACCTCGGATGAAAGTATCTGAGAAGTGTCTACTGGCATTTTGATTTATTCAGCTATCATTCGATAGACTATATTGAAAAAAGGAAAAATCTTAATGAGCTCGAACCTACGGACGAATGGTTACGCGTGGATATGAGTATGCATCATACGCGCATCCTGTATTTACTGAACTTTTAGTTGATATCATGGTATGTACAAAAGAATTGAATGATGATATTGTTCTCATAGATAGGTCTACTTGTACTTAGAATATCCTACAAATTTCAGTTCAAAACAATGTTCCCTTCATGAAATACGCCAATCTTTCTTGAAATATGAATGATTTTTGGAATTCAATATCTCGTAAAGGGAACATTGTTTTGAGCTAAAATTTTCATGATATTGTCATTACAAACAAATAACGTTCATCGACATTGAATGTCGATTCACTTGGCCCTAGACTGACGGAGTGATAACACAGATGTCATTTCATTTTTCAATGAAAATGAATTCTGTATAAAGATGAGTTTAGAAGAAATTATTACTATTTGTAACATACTCCATATTACATACTATAGCTATATTCAAACAGTTCACATAAAATATTGAAAAATGCTAATGTATATGATAAACTTTATGTTTTAAATAATTATAACGACTAAAATGGTCACTTGTACCATCACCATGGTACTTTGTGCCATGACAATGGTCATTTGTACCATCATTATGGTACTTTGTACCATAAAAATGGTCATTTGTGCCATCACTATGGCACTTTGTACCATAAACAAGGTCACTTGTACCATCACCATGGTACTTTGTAGCATAAAAATGATCATTTATACCATCACTATGGTACTTTGTACCATAAAAATGGTCACTTGTACCATCATCATGGTACTTTGTACCATAAAAATGGTCATTTGTGCCATCATCATGGCACTTTGTACCATAAAAATGGTCATTTGTACCACGCAAATGGTCAATTGTGTCACTGTTACAGACAGACAGACAGACACAGGTGAATTACGATTTCTAGACCCTATCCTTTCAGTCTAGGGAATAGGCTTATCTAAGCAAAGAATATCATCATTTGATTCTTTTGTACATACCGTCTTATAATCCAGAGAGTTCGAACTAGTGTCCGGCGTGACCGTGAGCAAAATATGAGACCACGAGCTTTGAATCAGTGCAAATAGGATCCTTTCATTATTCATAATCTTATATTACTAATCTCAATAATCGATAAATTATGTTATTTCTAGTTCAATATCCGCAGTCTTTTTAATGACATAAAAATCGTTTTCATTGATAGATTTTTTTTTGTCGTGAAAATATTTTTAATATTTATCAACAAATTCTAATTTTAGCTCTTGAATCTTTTTTCCTAGAGATCAATTAAATTTATTTGCTCATATGTGTTTCGATCGACAATATTTAGCAATTGATAATTTATCAATAGAATTAACAATTGAACTTATTCTAACGTAAGTTATTACATTTTATATTTTTCATTATCACAAAAAAGAAACAAAATCATTCTCTATTTATTTAAGATGTATAAAAAGTGAAAATCTTCCACCAGATTTACGTGCAGCATTTTGTCGTTTAATGATTCATATACATGTTAATCGTGATCCACAAGAAGAAGTAACACGTATAAAGTATGCACGATTATGGAATCAAGTTAAATCAACAATATCTTTAAATGAGTAAAAAAACAAGATTATTTTATTTTGTTTATTTTCGAAAAAAAAAACATGATATGCCTTTAGTTATGATCAAACAATAAACAGTTCACTTGAATCATCAGAAAAAAGTGAAAATCGATTAAAATTTGAATCAACAATGAAATTTGTTGAAGATTATCTTAATACAGTTGTTCAACAACCAAATTCATTTTCTGATAGAGAACAAAATAAATTAACACATGAAGTAAAAAATTGTTTTTTTCTTTTAATAGAAAAACAAAAGAATATTTATTTTTCTTTTATTTCTAAATTATTTTTTCTAGGTTGTTAATTTAGCTCGTCGTTTAATATTCTTTGGTTTTTATAGTTTTGAAGATTTACTTAAATTAACAAAAACTCTTCTTGGCATATTAGATACAAGTAAAATTATAGCTAGAAATATAATTAATTCACATTCAGAAAAAAGTTTGTTTTGATATAAATATCGAAAAGCAAAAACAAAATCTAATTTTTATTTATTAGTTCCATCAATCGTTATATCAAATTCAAAATCATCAAAATATGACTCTACCATAACTCCAAATTTATATACTGCAACAGATCCAACTGCAGAACAACCCAGTGATGCAATTGATGATTTAGCTTATAAAACAAAAATGAATATTATTGCAATTCTTGAGTTTATTCTTGATATTCGACTTGATTTTCGTATTTCTCGTCTTATTTCAATTTTTAAACAAAAATTTGATCGTCTCGGTATATAAAAGATATATCTTACGAAATCAAATTTATTATTTTGATTTATTTAGAATCAATATCAAATTTACTTGAAATGCCCGATATTGAATGTATATTTGATTCCCTTGAACCAAATCTTGATTTAGATGATGCAAAAGGAAAAACATTTCTTAAAGTTTTACTTAATCTTGTTATGCATGATTATCAACCATTAATATCACGTGCATTATCATTACTTTTTCGACATTTTAATCAACGTAAAGAAACATTACAACATTTAAATCAAGTACAATTACTTGTTAGTGAAACCGATATTGAAAATTATAAACAAATAAAACGAGATTTAGATCAATTAAGATTATTTGTTGAAAAATCAGAATTATGGGTTTATAAAAAAGGAAAAGATGGAGCATTAACAACGGGAAATGAAATTGAGATTAATGTTGATCAAGAAGATAGAAAAGATGAAGAAATGGAAATAAAGGTATAGATTTATATTTTGATAAAATCAATTAATCATATGTGATAATTATTATCGACCAAAGATAGAATCGGTCGAGATTTTTTTTATTATCAGCCGGTCTAAAATATGTATTATTTACATATCTAGATAGTTTCATTTAATGCAATCAACATCTTTAACTGCCTAACGTGAAGGACAAAAATTTAGAAACGCATAATACGCTTTGGTAAAAAGGTATTTTTTGAATATCATTAGTATTAGTTAATTAGTTGTTATTAGAGTTAATTAACATTAATTAATTAATAATTATAGTTAGTTAGTGTTAATTAGTCAGTTAATTATTAACTAATTAATTTATAGATTCAGTTAATTAATATTAGTTAACAGTTATAGAAAAATTTTGTTTTAACTTAAAACTTTTAAGAAAATCATTTGAAAGAGTATTAAAAATTGAATAAAACCATATATTACTTGTGTCGAAACGATTTATTTTAGTAAGATAGTATTCAGATTAGTAAATGCTACTGCTATACAATACTATTATTGTAGTATGATTGAATTGTATAATGCAACTTTCAAACTTGTGATTTACTGTATGTTATAGAGCAAACTTCATACTTTCAAACCAGATCTAATTGTCATCTATGTAATGCATTCTTCAGTCAATGTAACGGTTTTACTTTTTATGAATGATATTTGCTGCTTCTTTTTCTCGGATAAAACACTTAAACAAATCGAAATCGTTGTACCGACTGAAGAACGTATTATATAAATGACGTTAGATTTCATTTCAAAGCATAAAGTCTCCTCTGTAAAATACACTATATCACAAGTTTTGAAGCTGCGTTAAAGAATTTAACTGTACTAAAATAATAATACAGTAAAGTAGTAAAGTTCACTAAACTGTTTACTGTTCTGCTACAACAAGCCATTTTGTTCAGTGTTCAACACTCTTTCTAATGATACATTTACATGTTAAAAATTTAAACAAAATTTTTCTATAACTATTAACTATAATTATCAATTAATTAATACTGATGATATTCTAAAAGTATCTTCTAACAAAATATAACCCAATCAATTTAGCATCAAATGGTATATAAAAGTTTTTAATGATTATTGAATAGTAGAAAAGTATGAAAAGTACCTTAAAATTTTGTCTGTTAGAGTGAATTGACTGGTGCAATAGAAACTCAAATAACTGAATCCAAGAGAACATTGTATATATCAGCTTTATAGTTCATTTTGAAGGACTGTTACAATCGTAATTGGATGTCTTTCATAGGCCATGTTCGATTAAAATTATCTAGAAAACAAAAAGTGTCTCAAATGTTTGTTCTTCACTTTAAATAAGTTTATCTTATGAAATCAGACTGATAACTAAGCTAGACCGGTGACCAGTTGGTTTCATCTTTGATATCTACATGTAAATGGAATTAATTACGGCAGATTTTCTTTTTACTACAACTTGTCTATTTTAATAAATTTGTATAAAAAATTTTCCATATTCTACAACTATTAAAATGATACATTTACTAAATTATTTTTAATCATTTCGTTTTTTAATTGAAGAAATTCGCAAGTTCATCTGGTTTTACTGACACAGAATGGGATACTGGTGGTCCAATTATTAGTGAAGAATCAGCATATAGATATACATCGATTTTCCAGGTGAGTATTGCCTATTACATTCTCTAGACCTCAGAGAATCAACTGTAAAGTTCAATAACTTTGCTTACTAATTACCAAATCATTCTTAAATTATGAGACTTAATTCTTATCCTAACATGATTAACAGAGTTCTTTCTCTTAATGCATCTATTTTCACAGGGCATACATAAATTTATTGACACGGTAATGAACATTTCATAAATCTATACACATGTTATCTGCGTTTCATGTTTCACTTCTTTTTCTTTTTCTATCACTATCAATTGAAATGCTGCTTTATTGCATATATATATATATATAAATACACCTATCTATGCTAGAACAAGATAGAAATGCTATATTCTTTTCTTGAATTTGATTTTGACATGCAAGATATGCCCCTTTTGATTTTGATCAATTATTTTAAAGACAATTTCATACGAATTTGTGTTTGTATTTAAAAATGAATACACAAGAGCATGCATTTCTTATTGATTGGCTTGTGCATGGGATTTGAAAAAAAATTATTTTGAAAGAAAAAGAATTGTTAATAGAAAACAAATGATCTATTTATTTAGATTCTTTGTCGAATGATGAAATTATGTGTTGTTGAAAATAGTGATGGTAATTTATATGCACGTGAAGATGAACAACGTTTATTAAGAAATATGGGTGTACATATTGTAGTACTTGATTTATTAAAAATTCCATATGATAAAGTAAGAAAAACAAACAAAGAAATTTGAATATTATTATTTTATATTTATTTATTCTTAGATAGAAGATACTCGAATGAATCATATAATGAAATTAGCTCATAAGCTTTTACAATATTTTTGTTATGCAAATCCAACAAATCAAACAACATTATATGATTTATATTTTAATGATTATCCTCAAATATCTGAGGTAAAAATGAATGCAATATAACAAAAGAATTATTTCGAATTCTTGAAAAAAAAGCGTAAAATTGAAAATGATGAAAGAAGTTTCTTAATTGATTAATCGATTTCGAATTACTACTAATACAACTTGTAACTCTGAACAGAAGACCATCCTAATGCAGAATTCTTGTTAGCCTCATACACATTAACTAGACACACAAGCAGGTGTATGTCACAATATAATCACGATACTATCGAACATAGAATTCGAGACAAATAGTCATTAGTGATTTGCCCAGGATCATTCCATGGCCGATGGTACTGAAGTTTGAACACTACATCTTGTGGATAAGTGCTGAGCCATGCAGTCAGCTAGTCATATCAGCCTCTTGAATTGAATCGGGAAAATGAACATCGTGTAGATTCTAATGAATTATGAATGCAGTAAAAAGAGTTTGTGTCCTTGATTTATTGCTATCGAGATATTGCATTTTAACAGTATTACTTGAAACCAAAGCCATGGCCCTCCCACGTTTAGAAACAACGAAACAATTACTTTTCGAATTTCAACTTGAAATTATGCATAGAGATGGACCTGAAACAGAATAATTTATCGTGAAAACTTCAGATCTTTTTGTCATTCCTATCTTAGGATATGATTTATGTAAATGTGTGTTCTTTATATCGTTTATATGCATTACTAGATTCAATGATCTTATTTCAGGACAAAAACAAGTCGGAAGGCTCCTCTCTATGCAAAATTTCAAGTAAAAATTCGAAAATTATTTTTTCTAGCATTCATGTGGGAGTGAGGCACATTGCCGTGATTCAAAAGTGATCTATCGATTGGAGAGCAAGATAAACTGATCTTATTTATATCTAACTGATAGATAATATATTCCAAAACTTTAGATAGATATGAGCAAGATGGGATCGGGATCAAACTTTTGTTTCTAGCTGAAAACGAGACCGAAATCAGAACGTATACTTTTTCATTGAAAATGATACCTTTTACGGTTGTGTAAAACATTCACACCTATTCGATTCCACCGGAACCTAAACAAAAAGCTACTGGTCTCACTCATGTCTAGTTTTGAGTTGATTTCAGTAGTAAATATATGTCTATTCATGAGATAGATTTTTTACTTCATTTTTCATTATTATTATTATTTATTTCTAATAGGAACAAGAAGTAGAAACATGTTGTTATATATTTCTAAATAATATTCAATTATGTAAAACAATAAGTGAAAAACATATTCAACATTTTGTTCATTTAATTGAATTACATGGACGAAAAGTTATATATATTAAATTTCTTCAAACAATTGTTAAAGCAGAAAATCAATATATTAAAAATTGTCAAGATTTAATTATGTCTGAAGTAAAAATTTCAAAAAAAAATCTACTTTAAATAAATATATGAATATTTATTTATTTTAGTTGGTTACTTCCGATGAAGTATTAATGTTTTATGAAAAAGGAAGTTTAACTGATCTTATTGAACGTATGCAATCGGAAAGTGAACGTTCAAATCCAAATTCATCATTAAATTATCATATTCAACTTGTTTATTTATTGGCAATGTGTACTGAAGGAAAAAATGCATCAACAGAAATTAAATGTCATTCATTAATTGGTCTTGATGATCTTGTTTCAATAGTAACAAATCCATTTTGTCTTCCTGAAGTTTGTATCAAATTAACTTTTGTTTTTTTTTATCATAATTAATTTCTCCTTCTTTTTTTTTTATTAGGTTAAAGATGCTTATATTACATTTTTAGATCATTGTTATATCGATACTGAAGTCGAAATGAAAGAAATCTATAATAGTCAACATATTTACACATTAATTGAAAAATCATTTAGTCCAGATATTGAACAAGTAAGAATGAATCAATAGAAAATCAATTCTATGCAAATATCTTGATATTTATTTATCTTTCGAATGAATGCTAAAACTAAATTTAAACTAGAGAAACACCGTTTTAAACTCAACTAGTTAAGAGTCACTATAAGCATATCACGACTAGTTCTGTTCAAATGTAATTCTGTACTGAAAATGCCATGCTCTACAAGATGGACTATGTTTCATGAAAAATTCACGAATCTAATTGTGCATTCTTTCAGAGGTGTAACTCAGTATTTGAAGGCTCGAGCGCGCTGAGTCTACAATTTTTGAAGCCGGACTGGGTTAACGGAAAAAATTCAAATCAAGATTCGAGCTCGAGATCAACCCAACGAGCTCTATTGGAGGCAACGAGAGTGCAGAGTAGTTGAGTCTGAGAAAAAAATGTACTGCGTGGACAGTTTTCAAAAGCAGGAGGCATCATAGCCTGTGTACCTCGCATAAGTATTGTCCCTATATCCCTCTATGGCGGCAAATCATGACTTCCAAGGAATAGGACTATCAATAAAGAAGAACGTCGAGATAAAATCCGCATCTTTTGACTGCTCTGCCTCTCCTTGTCCTCGATGTTCTTTATCAATGGCTGTTAAGTATGAGCAATCGACTTTAGCATGTACTCTGTCTTTACAATACCTTAGATACAAACGGTAACTGTAGGTGTATATCATTCTAAGACATTTTTCATTCGAACGAATTATTTATAGCTACGACAACAGTGAATTCACGTTTTTTAAAAAATCGATGAGCTTAGAAAACTTTTTTTTCAAATCAATCTATCTGTACAATGTGAAAATATGCTGTTGATTTGTTTCAGAAAGATACCTTAAACATGAGAAAGGAGTTTATTCAATGAAATATATTACATCTTAATTTAAAAACTGTAAACAAAAATTGTTTTCGCTATTAATCTCTAGCAATTGTTATAGATGAATTACTTTACTAAATAGATATTTCATTCTTCGTATTCAAATATCGTACTATACGAAAGCTATACTCATTTTTTGTACTCTTGAAAGTTTTAGAAAATGTTTTGATCTCGGATTATTAGTGCAATACTCTTTTACCTATTCGAAACCATTCTGGTACAGACGATACGAAAAACAAACAAAACTTTCCTAAAATGATCTAATGAGGTCTAAAGTATTTTAACAAATGAAATTCGACTTAAAACTAATAAGCATATAGTTAAAGACTTACAACAGAAATAATCTTTCCTTTGAAAATTCAACTCTGAAAATAAGATTAACATGTTCAGATTTATTTGATTTAATTTATACCCAAATACTTCATACACGATAAAATTCTATTCTCGTGAAAAATCCTATTTCTCTTCTAGTTAATCTAATTATTTTTCAAAATATTTCTAGCTAATATCAAATCCAGGCAACGACCCATACTTAGAAAAATATGTTTTAAATACAGTTATGGAATTAATATATCAATTTTTCAATTCACCTTTTTTCGAACAATCATCTGCACCACAAGTAAGCAAATATAAAAACATCTTTAGCATTTGTTTAACATTCGCATACATGAATTAATTCATGACACAAGTGAATTATAAAATAATTCAAAGTTTTTGTACTCTATAGACAAAACATATTCAAAGAATTTATCAGTATACATTATACATAAATTGTATATATAAATGTATATGATTTCCATAAGTGTATTAAATTCTATTGAACTCCAATACGATCTACCAGGACGTACCTAAGTCTATCCGGGACTATCACTGTTTTATAAGGATGTGGATGTACTCAAAACCACATCTTGGTAGAGCAATAGCACACTTTGCTGAAATCATCGATACAAATTAATAATAACTGAATTATTTTATAATACACTTTTGTTTTAATTTGTAATTCATTTGTATTATCCAGTACACATGCATAACTCATAATAAAATGACGAAAAATTTTATCAATACGATGTACTCTTAGAATTACTATATGTTTGATGATAGTCGATCAAATGAGATCGCACCATCAATAATTGTTTCCTCGGAGGTACTTTGTTATATACAAACAAACAAAAAACTCGTTGAATGATCAAAAATATTATTACTAACACTCAAAAAAAAAAAATTAGTTGTGTTTCATTTTTACGCATGTTTTAAACATATTCTCTTATTGCAGATTATGGATAATGTTGAACTTCAAGTAAGAAATTAGAATATATTTATATTGAGCTACATCAGATAGCGAAATGCTTCGTTGAATTTGTGCATGTGTGCAGTGCCAAAATTCGTTCCCTTTTTTTTTGTGCATTTATTTTTGAAATATTAATTTTTCTTTCTCTAGCAACGCAATGCAACTTTTGTAGCACTTCATAATCATTTGATACGATTATTTAATGTACCATGGTTAACAACAGCACAACGTGAACGTGTTGATCGATGTATACATATAATATCATTAATTGGTAAACAATTTTAATTCGCTTTTTTTAAATTTATTATTATTATTATTATTATTATTTATCATTAGCTGACAGACGTGGTCTTCTTCATTTTTTACGTTCAAATCAAAGTTCAGCTTGCGAAACAGCACTACAGTCATGTCGTACAAGTCGTAGTCTAACAGCTGAACGACAACATGTTAATGGTCATTTAAAGGAAGAACATAATCATTCACAAGATATCGAACATAAACGTGTTATTGATGGTTTTGTGGTAATAATTATTAGTTAAATTAAATATCTGATCTTTAGTTATTATTATTTTTTTGCTTATGTTTAGGCTTTTCTTTCTCAAGTTAGGGTCAAACTTAGTCCGTTAATTCAAGCAGAAATTAGTATTCTTGTTGATGTTATTCGTGCACCTTATGCTCTTTTTGCTGAAAAAAACGAATGTCGATTGAAATTTCTCCTTGGAGCATTCGTTCATAAGTATAAAATATTCTTTTATTTTTTTATTTTATTTTGAATTTAACGTAAAATATAATTAATTATTAGATTAATACAACATGCTAAATATTTACTTATACAAACAGATGAAAAACTATGTTTACGTATAATGCATGCACTTAAATCTATGGTTAAAAGCAATCAAGAGTTCGAAGTAGTGGTATAGAAAAATCTCATTATAACTATCATAAGAATTCTTTAGTTTGTTCTGTTTTTTTTTTGTATTTTAGGGATTAAATTTAAGATTAAAATTACTTCGACTTTACTTTTCTGATGATCCACAATATTTAAAATCTCTTCATCAAACTTTGAAAGGTATGTTAAAATTGTTCAATGGTTTATATTGAATAAATTCAAGGTTCGAATCTACATTCGAGCATAGTCTCGTTATTGTTCGATTGTCTTTTAATAATCGAATGATTCCATAAAAACTATGCAAAAATAAAAGATCTTCACCACTTTTCGGCAAATGACCAAAATTTTGTGCGAAATATCTTGAATATTCGACAATTAAAATATTTTAAAAAATTCTTCTTTTATTTAGAAGAAGATATTATTGAACGATTACGTTTAACACAAAATGAATTAAATAAACAAGGCGCTAGTGATCTCGTTGTTGAATTATTTATAAGTCAATCATCAATAAATATTCTTGAAGAAAGTATTCATTTAGCTATTGCTTTACTTGAAGGTGGAAATACTGAAGTTCAGGTTAGAAATTTTTGTTTATATCATAAATAAAATTTCTGATCAATCTCGCCTTTTGTTTTTGTAGAGAAGTATTTATCGTCGTTTACATGAATGTGAAATAGCATCAGAAAAATTCTTTCATGTTTTTTATGATAAAATGTATACGGCTCAAAAAATATTGAAAAGTATGTCATCAATTACAAATGATATTCCTGTAGACAATGATGATTTTGATGTTGTCGGATTCACATCAAAATATAATCGTGCTTTATCAATACCAAGTTCAACAATGAATAATCGACAATTTTCAAACATTTCATCAATGGATGAGAAAGTTAATATAGAATTATCATCGAATGTTGCATTTGAACCTCAAACGAGTATTAGTAATAGTATGTTTATTAAGAAAAATAAGCTTTTCTTTTTGTATTCTTTCTTATAGATATTACGGAAATAGAAACACCACAAGCATTGGAAGCTATATCGATTACTTATCAAGCTTCACCTCAATCAGATCAAAAGAAAAATTCAATTGCGGAAACAATTGACATTTTTGATTTTCAGTAAGATATCAAAGGATGGAATTTTTCGTGTGAATTTTTGATAAGGATGAAATTTGTATGGATTTTGGAAAATTCAAATTTATGTTTTTCTAAGAAAAATATTGTGAGTGTTGGTTTTTTGCGACTCTCCTTTCACAGACAGCAGAGAGAAAAGACAACGGTCATTGGGTAAGTTTCCATAGCAACAGACGTTAAGTTACAAAATTTCAATAATAATTACTTTTCTCATAAAATTAATGAGTTAATGATAAATAAATATGACTGTTTTTGTACTTGGATGGTAATATTATTGTAATATTTAAACTTGAAATTCGCATAAAGATCATGATTATTTGCAGCCTACCTTTTCGTTATGCTACATTCCATTCCAAAAATGCTGACGAACAGATTCTATTCAGTTCCATCGATTACACACAAAAACGCTGTTGGCGTATTCCCTACGGAATTAAAATGTGAAACACGATATAGCTGTTGTTACTAATCACGAGAACATTGCTTTGTTTGATTTACCTTGAGACTCATTGTTTCAACATACTTTACTTAATTCTTTAGAACTGAAAGAAAGAAGCAGTTCATAAAGTCTCATGCAGCATTAATGATATATGATTGTTAATCGTCTATCAGAAACACCTATGATGGCCTGTGATGATCTCTGGAGGCCGTCTGGTACGATCTGTGATGTTTTCTGAGAACCGTCTATCACAGTCTGCAATGGGTCTCGAAGCTGTCTGCCATGGCCAGTGAGGGTTTTTGAAGGTCATCTGCCACCGCCTGTAATAGTCTTAGAAGACTGTCTATCACGGTGTTTGATGGTATCTGAAGACCGTTCGTCACGGCCTGCGATGCTCTCTGGAGACAATCCGTCACGGTTTGTGATGGTTCCTGGAGATCATCTGTAAAAGTCTGTGATATTCTCTAGAGATCGTCGGTCACGGTTTGTGATGGTTTCTGGTGGCCGCCTGCCATGGTCTGTGCGGGGGAGGAGAGTAGGTCCAAATTTCTACGCTCATACACTTCAGTACTCTTTTTAGATCATGTTTTACAAAGCTCATGCCCAAAAGGTGAACAGATAATTGGAGGACCTCGCGATCGAATAGGATCTTTTTCGTTTTATTTATTGAGTTTAGATAACTAATAATGCTTTTTTTTTCAAACTAGTGACAAAATTTAATAATTTTAGGCCTCAAAATCGTCGTCATAAACTAGTTTTTGAAATTCGTATAATGCAACCAATATTACGATTTTTACAATTACTGTGCGAAAATCATAATCCTGAATTTCAGGTTTTTATTTTTCTTATCATTACTTCTTTAGTTTTTCTTTATAAAATCTATTAGAATTATCTTCGTGTACAAAACAAACATAAAACAAATTATAATCTTGTTTGTGAAACATTAAAATTTCTTGATGCTATTTGTGGTTCACAAACAGGTTTACTTGGTTTATTGGGTAATTATATTAATGAAGATAATGTTGAATTAATAAATCAAGCATTAATTACATTAACTGAATATTGTCAAGGACCATGTCATGATAATCAAGATGCAATTGTTAATCATGAATCAAATGGTATCGATATAATTATTGCTATTGTTTTAAATGATATTACACCATTAAATCAAAAAAATTATGATCTTGTACTTGAATTAAAAGTAAATATCAGTATTTCTTTTTCATTTATCAACTTCTATTGGTTTTATTTTCTAGGATAATGCATCAAAATTACTTTTAGCTGTAATGGAAAGTCGTGATGATAGTACAAATGCAGAACGTATTCTTAGAAATATTACACCTGTTGCACAATTAGTAGAAATACATGAACAATTTTGTTTTACTTTAAGATATAATTTTTTTGTTTTTTATTTTAGCTTGATGTTGGTTGTCAAATCTATGCCCGTGGTAAACAACAAGATATTGAAAGCAAAGAAATTGAAAATGATGAAGTATCACATGAAGAAGAAGTAAATGATAATGCCAATAATGTTGCACAAACTGTTGGTCATAATATGTATATTCTTACATATCAAGTATGTGATTTACACATACATGTATTTATCCATTAAACATTTTTTTTTTCTCTTCTTTGAATATATATAGCTTGCTCGTCATAATCGTGAACTTGAAGCTTTAATGAAACTTCGAACATTAAATGATGAAGCTTTATCTTATTATCATAAACATACAGCTGAAATTGAAATTATTCGACACGATCGATCAATAGAACCAAGTAATATTTTAATATGTTATATCTAATTAAATATTTATTTCTATCTAAATAGTTGTTTTTCCTGTTCCACAATTATGTGAATTTTTAACAAACGAAAAAAAACAAAAAGTTTTTTTAACATGTGAACAAGATGAACAAGGTTCTAAAGTAAAAGATTTTTTTGAAAAATTTTCTGAAATATTCGAAGAAATGAAATGGCAAAGAAAATTAAGACATCAACCAACATTATATTGGTTTTCATCACAAATGTCATTATGGAGTGATATTTCATTTAATTTTGCTGTTTTAATTAATATTCTTGTTGCTGTTTTTTATCCATTTAATAAAGGTCTTAAGGGTAAAATTTCTAATCTAAATAATTGATTTTAAAATATTTTATTTCGTTTTTTTTTAATAAGATCTTGATTCTCGTGCTTCAGCAGCTATCTGGAGTGCATTATTAATTACTTTAGTTGCTATTTTAATAAGACCAAATGCTACATCAATACGTATGTTTTTTGTTGCGGGTATTTTAAGATCAATTTATTCTGTTGGTCTTGGACCAACATTATGGTTAATGGGAGCAATACAAGTATGAAGAATGTTATTTTCATCTTGAATAATTTTTTTTATTTGTTGATTTTTGTTTTCTATAGGTATTAAATAAAGGAATATTTTTAGTTAGTTTTATGGGAAATAATGGAACATTTTCAAAATCACGTTATGAAAATTTAACTAATTTTCAACTTGTTTATCATGTTGGATATCTACTACTTTGTGTACTTGGATTATGTGCTCATGAATTTTTCTATAGTTTACTAGTAAGTTAAATGCTTATAAATATTTAAAGCTTATTGTAAATCTATGTGATGCTATTCAAGACATAAATAAAACATACAAATGATTTTTCCTTCTATTAGAACGATACGAGTTTAATCGATTAGAAACTAGAAGAAGTTTTATCAATAATAACACTTTCGACTGACTTATTAAGATTAAATGAACTTATGAATAAAACTTCAGCTAAATCGAGCTCAACAAAAAGACGCCGGATCTGGAAACTTGGAACTCGACGGGTTCTGGTCGTCTGAGAAATATGTAGGGTGCATCAGTTACCGAATACATAAAAAAATATCTCGTATCTTTAGTGTAGCGATCTGATTCCGATTAGGTATATTTTACTGACAGTATAAAAGTACGGTTCGATCGAGTCCAAGTTCGAAAATTTTGGATCTGACGGGCTCTACTAACAGTAAGTCATTGATTGATAGTTTAGTATAAAGTTTGTTCTACTGACGAAATTTTACTACTTAAATAATAAGCTATTCTTGAGTGAAGGTTATGTTAGATAATCAATTAGTGACCGTTACCCGACGGAGTTTTAACCAACTTTATGTTGATTCATATATATGTCCGAAAGAGCTAGAAAAAGAAAAAATGTTGATTAAACATTTTTACCTTTATTAATAAAAGAACTATTCCGCGTCGTTCACTATTAGTTATAAAACCATAGATATGTGTATTCTTTGAATCGGTAGTTAATAATGAAAAAGAAAACTCCAGCTTTTCAAAGAAAACAAAAAAAACACTAGATTATTATATAAATGTTTGATGTTGTATTGTATTCATTCTCTTAGTTGCTTGATGTTGTCTATCGTGAAGATACTTTGTGGAATGTCATTCAATGTGTTGTACGCAATGCTAAATCCGTTATATTAACAGCTGTATTTGCTGTAATTATTATTTATTTATTTGCTATATGTGGTTATTTATTCATCCAAGATGATTTTCTTATGGAAGTACGAGAAAAACCACTTTCAATAGATGATCAAACTGTAAACATTACATTGAATAATAAAACTGAGTTTTTAGGTAAATATGATGAAAAGTGTTTTTTTTTTTAATGATGCTTCGCTTGCTTTTCATGTGTTAATTTGATTTTTGAAATTTTTGACAAAAAGTGATTATGTTAATCTTTATTTTTTCCAGTTACTTGATATAATTTTTCGAGATTCAACATTACTTCAAGTAACACAATCAGTAACACGAAATGGAAAATCAATAATGTTAACAATGACATTAGCTCTTATACTTATATATCATTTTTCTCTTTTGGGTTTTCTATTTTTTCGTAATGATTTTTTAACAAATATTCAATTAAGAAAAAATTCTATTCAATATCAACGTCCAAGTCATTTACATAAAACAACGATTTTGACACGTATGTCAATTATTCGTTGTCTAGTATTTTTCTTTGTTAATTGTTTATGTTTTTCTATAAATTAAATAAATTCTAATGAATTATTCTTCTGTGTTTTTTTTTTATAGCTTCAATCATTCCAGCGACTAATGAAAATAGATTTTGTACAAAAGATAATTGTACTAATGATACAATAACCGGTCATATTCGTAATGTTACTCAGGCATCAACTATATTATCAGAAGAAGACGCAGCAAATGGAGAACTTGAACGTGCTTGTGATACATTATTTATGTGTATTGTAACAACACTCAATAAAGGATTAAGAAATGGTGGTGGTATTGGTGATGTATTAAGACAACCTTCTAGTCGTGTAAGTCGAATTTTTTCTTAGATAGTTTTGTCGCCATGGCTTACAAGGGAACCTTCTCAGATATCCTCTTTCGATTTCAATGATTTGTTGTTGTCGATAGATGCTACAGAGTATTTTAATAAAAGTCCTAAAAGGATTTGACTAAGCTATCAATTTTATTTGCTAGAGGTCTCAGATTTTCGTAAAACTCGTTTTTCTTTTCGACTTTTGGTCTGAAAGTCTGTGAATATAGAGAACTCAACTAGACTAGCTTTCATGAAACAATTCAAAAGTTTTAAACAAAGTCTCTTCGAGATATAGATCCTTGTCTATGGATATGAGATGCAATATGTATTTTTTTGAAAGCTTCATATCTCGAAGAGACTTTGTTCAAAACATTTGAATTATTTCATGGGAACTAGTATATATAAATTCTCTATATGCACAAGATTTCAGATCAAAACTCGAAAATCAGTTTTTCTGTTGTTCCTAAGTGATCCATGACATTTATTTAAAAATTATCCTAAAACTGTAGTATCTCGATAGCAATATGTTAGAGACATGAACTCTTTTCAAAATATTCATAAGCCATTAGGACTTATATAATGCACATAGTCTCCACTCAAAAGCGATTGAATAGTTGGAGAACTTCCCTTGTTTATAGTATCGCAATAGAAGTCAGCTTTTTTTTTTTAGAGTTTTTATTAGCATACTGTGTAGTGTTTATAGACAAATACATCATTGGAATAGAAAGGGAACATCTAAGGGCAGGTCCCCTCATGAGTGGCTGCGTTGTTCGATATATACCCACAAGGTAGTGTGTGCAAAGATTAGTATCTCTAGTCATGGAATGATTCTGGACAAGTTACTAATGACTATCTATGTTGGATCATACTCATGGGATAGCACGCTAACTAAGTTGTCAGATACACTTGCTCTTACGGCTAACTGGTGTGTATGGAGAACTCAAGCAATTATTGGAATCTGTCGCTAAGTATAGTACCCCATATCCTAGGATAGTTGTAAAGCAGAAGTATTCTTCTTCCTAGTAAATTTTACAATGATGAAAAATATGTTTTTATAATAATTCTATTTTCAAGAAGTAATACAAAGGAGATTTTTGAATTATGAATTTTCTTTTTTTAAGGAACCACTGTATTTCTTTCGTGTTATATATGATATGATGTTCTTCTTTATTGTTATAATTATAACATTAAATTTAATTTTTGGTGTTATTATTGATAATTTTGCTGATTTGCGTACAGAAAAACAAAGAAATGATGAAATACTTCGTAATACATGTTTTATTTGTGGTAAAGAAAAACAAAAGAGAAATTTGATTATGATAAAAAAAACTAGAATTTCTTTTTTTTTTCAGCACTTGATCGTAAATCCTTTGATAATAAACATGTAACATTTGAAGATCATATACGTAAAGTTCATAATATGTGGAATTATGTTTATTTTATGGTTTTAATTCATGTTAAAGATCCAACAGAATATACAGGTCCTGAAAGTTATGTACATGAAATGATCGAAGTCCGTGATATTTTGGTGTTATCTATCTTTTAATAAAAATGAATGTCTTTTATTTTTTCTAGCAAAGAAATCTTGATTGGTTTCCACGTATGCGAACAAGTAGTTTAGATACTCAAGAAGATAAAAATAAAGAAGAACAAGATAATCGAATATTAAGAGTTCAAATGGAAAATGCCAATGAAGCCATAAAAACATTAACAATGGAATTGGCTGAATTACAAAAACTAGTAAAAATCTCCTATATAATCATTGGATTAATAGATGTTTTTATTTTGCTTCATTTTATTTGTTTTTTTTTTAGGTAACAGAATCTCGAGCACAAAAAAATCGTATAAATTTTCTACCGAATTCGTCATTGCCAACGCCATTAAATCCATGATTTATTTTTATTTCTCATTTGATCGTGAATCATGTTTTTTTTTTTTTAAATAAAAAGTTTTTCTTTTTTTTTTCTCTTATTATTGATAGATATGTTTATCAGTAATAAGCGTGCCTTTTAAAAAGTTTTATGCATTGTTTTCATTTTTGTTTTTTTTTTATATGAACTTTATCCTTGCTAGTAAGATATTTCATTGTGAGACAAAAAAATCGAACATTTTTTTTGTGAATGTGATTATATAGTCTAGAAGTTTTGAAATATTATCTTATCTGGAACTGTAACATTGTTGTTTTTGTTGTTCAAGTCTTAAAAGGAAGAATATAAGTAACTACAGCATTTGAAATTTATTTATATTCTTAATTTGAAAAAGTGTCATTGAATTCGATCTAATTTACAAAGCCATCCTTTTTCTGGTATGGAATATTATTCATCAGCCCCTTCTTTTTGTAAATATAAACTCAAAAAACTATGACAGAGCAGAAAGAAACATTTTACTTTCTCTCAATGTCAAACATTATACGATTACTTTTAGCTTGTCAAAACAGCGGAAGTGGCACAGTAAAATTTTCTCTCTAGTCAACAGACGATAAATGGTTTTTTTTCTACTTGTTCAACAGCATTTTACTGAAATGAGGACTTCTATAGAGTTCTTTGTTATATTGAAATTTATTAAGTATGTGTTGAATAGATCATGTTAATATGTAAATCTTGTCATTTTCTTTTTGAAAACAAATCAACGTTATTAACCTATAATCTATATAATCTTTTTAGATGGTGCACTATCTCTCTTTCATCATAGTTTGTTGTTTAATACTTTCAATTGAAACAACAATAGGACCTGGTAGTCGTAAAACATCAACTCGTTCAACAGAAAAAGTAACAACAACACCATCTCCATCTGTTCGATCATCTTCTCCACCTTCTGCATCATCATCCTCATTCGAATCATTACCACCGGGAAAAATTAATGTTTTACAACGTAATCTTGTGGAAGAAAATATTAATTCTCAATCAATTCTCGAAAATCATCAATCATATTGTTCAACATGTTTAGAAAGTCGAGAATTTACTAATCCAACACTTGTTTATATAACACCATGGAATTCTCATGGTTATGATATAGCAAAATTATTTGCAAAAAAATTTGATTATGTTTCACCAGTTTGGTTTAATATAAAACGAACAGGTTTTGAAAAATATACTATTGATGGTATACATGATATTGATAAAAAATGGATTGAAGCATTAAAAGAAAAAAATTCTAATATACATATTGTACCACGTGTTATATTTGAACAATGGTCTGTTGATGATATACATGCATTATTTCAATCGGAAAATGAAAAACAACAATTAGCATCAACATTTGCAAAATTTCTTAATGAATATACAAATTTATTTGATGGTTATGTACTTGAATTACTTGTACAATTTCGTGGTTCATCAAAATCTACACTTAATCATATAATTAGTGATATTGCTGAGCATGTACATCAAATAGAAAATAATGGAAAAAAGAAAGAAATTATTTTAGCTATACCACCATATGAAGAATTATTTAATAAAAATGATTTTGAAATGTTATTTGAATATTTAGATGGATTTAGTGTTATGACATATGATTTTCCCAATAGAGAACCAGGACCAGTGGCACCATTAGGTATATATTAGTAATTATATCAGAAACGATATAACATACAGAAAAGAAATCGATTATAAATGAATACGTATCTTAATTTGAAGAATGTCGAAGAAATTTTCGAATGTGATTAAATATAAAAGTTGTATAGTAAACTCTCTGTTTTACTATAAGAAATCTTCTGGGAGGAATATAACATTTAAAACTTGAAAAAATTTCTTTTCAAAATCATTCTAATTTGCTAACATTTTTTTTTAATTAGAAATTATTAAATCAAATGAGACATAACAGAAGACTCGGACTCTTTTATTGTGGTGCGGAGGATGATATCGCCTTTGAAAAAGTTTGCCTGAAATAAGATATTTTTCTTTTCTAGTCCGTATGAACAAATAAGCATACTTAAAATAATATCGACTTTAGTACAGATCATAAAAGGATGTCTTCAATTAGTTTTGTAATAAAGTTCAATATTATTTCATTAAGCGAAATGTTCGAAGAAAACTTCAAATAGAATGTTATTTTTGATAGAAGTCTTTTCAATACATTTGAGTATTTATCTAATGGACCATTTAAGAAAAATTTTCATTTTAGAAATACCAGATAATTGTATTATGTATAGAACAAGTGAAGTTTATAATTAATAAATGAGTTAATTTTCCAGCGACATAATTATGATCGAAATATTTTAAAATTATCTTTGATCATCATATTCTAGGTATAGTGCACATGAACTATTAGGGTCAAAGTTTATTTTTAATTAGGATACTACCTTTTTAGTTTTCTGTTCCTTGTGTTAATTCATCTCGAATAGGAACAAAGATATTTTCTTTATGTTCATGAAAAAAGAACGGAAAATATGACAAAAGACTCATATTATCTTCAGAATGCCGTATTGTCATGATTATTTTAACCTTCGAATATGTTTATTAATTTATGTAAAGCTATTAGTCAAGTGTTAAATATCTTTTTTTTTCTTCTTTAAAGAATGGGTCAAAATGACAATAGAAAAATTTTCTATGCCCGAAGCTGGAAGTCCAATTAAAGTATTTCTTGGTCTTAATTTTTATGGATATCGTTATGATCGAGTTGATGCATCAGCAAAAAAAGATCAACAACAATATGGAATGAAACCTATTGTTGGCCGAGATTATATTGAATTTCTTCGAAAATCTCATCCGAAACCAATGATTATTTATGATCCTCGTACACATGAACATGCTACTGTTATACATGGTCGTCCAACAAAACAACAACAAAATCCTTTACCTGAAACAATTATTTTTTATCCTAGTTTAAAATCAATTTATAAACGATTAGAATTAGCAACTAAACTTAATGTTGGTATTGCTATTTGGGATGGTGGTCAAGGTCTTGACTATTTTTATGATTTGTTGTGATCAAATTCCATGATATGTTGTTTGTTTGTTTTTTTTCTTGATTATTATACTTATGATTATTCATTTTTCTGTTTTGGCTTTTTTTTTTTCGACTATAGATTTTTGATTCTTTGATTGATAAAGAAAATTAAGTTTACATAATGGTAGGACAATTTATTGATACATTTTGGCGAAAATCATTCATCGGTGATTTACGCCGAGCTAGAAAAGTCTCTGAAGATGATACTGAATGGACTATAACATATAATGGTAAAGTTCATCAATTTCAATTTGTTTGGTTACAAGGAATTTGTGTCAAGGTGGGTTATATTGCAAAAATTATTTTTTTGTTTTTCTTGAGATAAAATATCTATTAAATATTTTTAGTTGTATCGAATGATTGATAATAGTAGTAGAGTACGAATTCGAATAGATTTATATATTGAGAGCAAATATTTAAAAACGAGCTCTTTTTGCCTTCTTCAAATATTATTCTACCGAAAATTAGCGTTTTAAAATATAATGGATCATATGATTATATTTCAATACAAAAAGAAAAAGAAAAATGAATATTGTTGAAGAAAGATTTTCGTAAATGAATTTTATAATAGGATAATTTGGTCAAATTACAATATGAAATATTATATATACATATATTATAGATCGACAAAAGTACTGATTCAATGATAATTGAAGATGCTACAGGGCAAGCTGAAATACAAACTTGTTCTCGTATTGCAGATGTATGGTCAACAAATGAAGGTACATATTTTTGCAGATTGATATTCGTTAAAACAAAAATATGCATATTATAAGAACACTTATTGATAATAAATAGATGCAAAAAAAAAACAAGTATTAATAGTATACTTTAGAATCAAAACATGTTCTAAGATTCGATGCATGCTGACGAATGATATAGATATCAATGAAATGCATCGTCAGTGTTACAAAAGCAAAATATGCTTTTCTTTCTTTATCTATGAAATTAAGCTAGTTTATAGACATATTAAACTTTACAACATTGTTCCGTCACTGTCTACGGTTGTAAGATTCATTCAGTAGAAGGGTTTCTAGTTAGAAAGAAAATGACAGTGGCTTTGAACTGTTAAAAATTTCGAACTTTCGGCTCCTAGAAAATCTTGATCGAAAGAGAATTTAAACTGTGCCTCTATCAAAAAGTTGAACGAAGATGCGTTCTGTCGAATTTGAAGCTTCTTCCAACCTCAAAAATAATCATGAGTAGAAATGTATGAGGTCAAGACTACATCAGACTTATTAGAATTATGACCGGATCGATGGATAAAAAATTTTTCCGAGCGCGGGATCAGAAAAAAACTTCATCCAGCACATCTGAAATCAAGAGTCTAATTCACTAGTAAACAAGCGATTATACGTCTATTCACATTTTGAATCCTAGTGCTACTAAGCCTATTTTAGGCATCAGACGGATATGAATGTGGATAATAATTTACTCTTTGCACTCATATTCTAAATTTCAAACCTTGACAAATGCGAAATATTTTTCGAAACTGAAAAAATAACAAGGCATTTTTATGAAGTTTCGTTTTATTACAGTGGAGTCAAAAATGACTCCGATTGATAGCATTCAGGTTAATAATGTACATTAAAGTCATAAGAGCAACATTTTTATCGTAAAATTTTACTTAATGCTAAACATTTAAATGCAATATATTCTTTTTTTTACAAAAGTACTTTGTCTGAGTTATGTTTAGAAAAATCCTGTTTTGATTTGATGTTTAATTCAGATAATTATTTAAGATTCTGACTTGTGATGGATACAAGTAAATTATCCATTGAATCATCTATCATACTAAGGAATATTTTGTTGAGTTTAATCACCTTTGTCCGTTTGAATATTCCTTTAAATCGTTAGGTTTTTTTCTTTTCTTTTACATACAAGACGTCATTGGCTGATTAAATGTCTGTAGTGATTCATGGAGTATAAATGTTATCTTTTGAGAATAACGTGACGTCTATAAAAAATACTTTATCTTTTTTGACTCAATATTTACACATAATCTTAATCTTAAATTTCAATTTATTGTAAAAACAAAATTGATTGAAAAGAATATATTTTCTAGGTGATTATACAATTATTGCTGGAAAATTACTTAATACAACTTCATCAGATCATATTATTGTTAGTGCATATAAAATTCAATGGTTTAAAACTTCATCTAAACATGAACTAATTTGGCCATTTGAAGTAGTTGATATTAGTCAACGTGTTTATCATTAGATCTAATTGAAAACAACACTGAATATTTACAGAGAAAACTATAAATAATACTATGATAAAAATAATTCTGATTCGATTCATTAAAATTAGCTGATTTTTTTATTTAGAAATAAAAATTTATTCGAATTTTTCTTCTTTTTTTTCTTCATATAAATAATATAAATAAATGATCTTACTAAAAAACTTTGAGTAAGAAAAATACAGTTATGTAACACTCAAAAAATAATTGTCTATTATCACCTAAGAGAATAGAAAGAAAAAACATCAAAATAAAGTTTATGAATGATATTCTACTGAAGTATAAAAACTGATTTTTCACGTCCAGTTAATGTTAACGTTAACATTTGTATCCAATAGCTAAGACACATAATTGAAGATCTTTATAAGTATTAAATCGCTAAATTTCTTGCAAAAGAGCAATGTTCTATACTTGGAAACTCGAAATATTACAATCATTGACTTTTAAAACTGAAAAATTCTGAAAATTATTTTCAAGCGATACACAATTATATTGTTCTTACTTGACAATACGTCAAAATTTTATTAGTGATAATAATAATATTGTTTTTTGTTTAAATTATACATATGAAAAGAAGAAGTCATGAATAAACTTTTATTATTAACCAAAAAACTCAATCTGTTTTAATGCATCGAAGCAAAGATCTTTAAAGCTTGGGATTTTTTTTTATCAAAATATTATTTATTGCTCGATCTAGATATTTTCTGTTTTTCTTGTTGCACAATACAATAAATATTTCCATACATACAAAATAAACAAACAAAACAATAAAAGATCATTAAAGATGTCGACCAAATCTTGTTGCAGGAATATAATGCTTTAAATTTGGTTTCCAACCTTGACTAAGAGCTTTTCGAAGTAAATTAATTAATTGTTGTCGATTTTGTGATGAATTTAGAAGTATTGATCGTGATTGATCTTTGTTAAATTCAGTAGATTCTTCACTACTAGGATCGAATGTATCAGACATTGTTGTTAGTGAGTCTTCTGGTTCTAAATAGTAGATTATATAATATTATGAAAAAAAACAAAATAATAATTAAGTTTTTTTTTTTTTACCTTCATATTCATAAGACTCTAATTCTTCAAGAGATGATTTTTCAGCAGAAGTGAATGCAACTATCAGTAAAAGTAAAAGTAAGATCTGTAGAAGGTGCGAATGACCCATCTTTGTATGCTTCTAAAAATGAAAAGAATCTGTACAAAATTATCATGAATATTTTGTTTCACAACATTAGGTTAATATTTTAAAAGATTAAAAAAATCCTTATGTTTGCTTTGACGGTGATATTTGCCTACTTCGATGCTATATATGAGTCGGCAGGTAATGAAATCAGACGCCTACTTACAAAATAACTAACTGACTGAAGTAATTTCAACATGCTCTCAAAAAATGATTGACATGATTTCTTTTTTTAACAAAAACGAAAAAAAAAAGGCTACGTTAAAAATAGAAACCGGATAAGTGTAATAGCGAAAGAAGAGAAGACAGAAGGAAAGGTTGTTCGATTCATCATATTGACAACGGTTATTGACAGATCAACACACATCTAAAGTTTCAATAACGCATAAAACCTAATATTAAAAGAGTTTCCTAGGAATCAGTAGTCTCGTTCTAATAAAGAAAACTTAACTTAACTGTGATAGAATATAGATAATGTGCGATGTTCTTCTTCAATCAATTATTATCAATACTTTTTTTGCTATTACTTACCAGTATATTTATATCCAACAATTTACATGATTTTCTTTGGAGAATATATAATATAAGTAAATTAAAATTTTCGGTAAATATTGATGCTGTCTCATCTAAATGATTTCTTCTCGTTTCAGACATATAATACACCTAGGAATCCGATGTAACTTATTGTCTATTGCAGAAAAATTTATCGAACGTGTTCTTTTTTCTTTTATCATTTTATCCTGAAATTCTAAAGTCAATAATCGTAGTTAAAATGTTAGAACGCACACATGTATGCATTGGACATTTATATTATTACTAATATCTAATAGGTATGATTTATCCTGTCATTAAAAACTGATAATTTCCTGATGAATTTAAAATCATAGATATAAAACGTGCAGAAATTAATTTTATACTTCAGAAACAAAATTTGATATGTTAAACAAGTGTATCGAGATTCTTATTCAAAATAGAAAATCATAGATAGTTAGAATATGCATGATATTTTAAATAATAGGTCATTAATAAATATAAAAAGAGAAATAGAGAGATAGACTAGAATGTAGGAGTTTTCGGTTAGATGCATTAGCTTATTTTTGATTAAAAAGAATAGCCGACTGGGCTATAGAGAGAAAACTCTATTTGTCTTGATTCACGATTAAATGAAGAACAGATGAATGAACTATCAAAAGACACGATTCTCTCATTCCATTTCTTTTCTTTTGTATGACTTAACTAATGAGATACATAACTTCCTTACTCATTATAACTTGAAGACGAACATAACCACCAGAAAATAAAGTTAATTTTTTTTAAAACTTCTTCATTATCTCATAATGATGTAGCAAGATATTTACGTATTGTTAACATTATTATAATACACTATCTATTCTATTTTCTAATATGAAATTTTAACAGACATAACTATTCGGATTTATTATTATTATGAGGTTAAAGAAAACCAAAAGAATATGAAAGTCTATTAATTAAGAGATATGGAATATAACAACTAAACAATACCACTCATAAAGAATTTGATTCAAGAAAAAGTTAAATCTCATATCTTAATCGTATTTCATTAAAAAAAATGTAAGAAAATCTATATTGAAATATGCTCAGGTCAAAGATAAATCTATTTGAAAAACAACGTATTTCATCATAAAAGAAGTCAACAGACAGAGATAAGAAAAAAGAAATTAGGCAATCTATTGTTCACTTGATTAATTCTATTGTTAAGAATTATTAATCGAAATGGTTATGACATCATTTTTCACAATGAATATATTACTAGACTAAAAAAAAACTTGTCTCTTAATCAACAATTTTAGATTAATTAAAATAATCTACTTAACGAATCTTAATAAGTTTTTGAATCGAATAGTTTTATATATTACATCTATTTTAGAAGTTTAAAATGTAAAATCTGAATCTTACCTGTTGTTGAGTTCTGCAGAAGTTAATGTCTCTTCAAAGCAATATAACAATTATCAATATGTACTGATTATAAGAAGAGGAAAAGACCAAATAGTGAAATTTCAACAGATTATGACGATGACAGGGAAATCTGAAAAACAGCTTCCAAGATAGCTGATCAGAAGGAAAGAAAAGGTATATTACATAAAGATATATGATAAACATGCAAAAGTCCTCCTACGCAAATATGATAGGAAGGAAAGATCCATTATAGATGATTAACAACAAGAGAAAGAAAAGAACTTGAATATGTATATGAGTATAACAAGTATACTCTAATGATCTCATGTGAACATCATGTAGGTCATAACAGAAACATTTGCGTAGATCTATTCATCATGTTTTCTAACGAAAGAATCTCTTAGAAATATGAATGATACTAATAGTAAATATAACATTTTATAATAACATCAGAATTTATATAATTTATTCTGAATTTTCTTTTTTTGCAATTTGTAGACAATTAAAGTTTATTAAATATTTCTAAAATTTAATCTTTAATAAGTAATTTTTTATTCATTTATTTAATATCTAATATCTACTCATGTGATTAAAAAAAATCCATTAATAGTTTATAATTTTTTCAAATTATATTATTTGATTTGTTCTTGAATCTTCAATTTCATCTATAATATTAAATAAATTATACTTTAATGAAATATTCTCTTTAACATACCACATTGTGGCATATGATCATCATCTTGTCGTGTTCCATTAACTTCAATTCCATGTTTATCAACACACCAACATTGTCGTGGTGTATCTATATTACATTGTCTTGCTGCATAATATCCATTTGAATTACATCGTGGTCGAAATATACCTTCCATTGGTTTATTCCAAAATGCTTTATCCAAATCATGATTATGTAATTCACAAGGTAAAACTAAAAAGTAAAATATTTAAGCAAAATATAAATTTCATTTGAAAATTTACGAGCATATTGAAAACAATTACACCATTCATATGAAAATAATCGATGATCATCATCATGATCACATCGTTGAAAAAATATATCGGTACATAATTCATCTTTTAAATGTTCAATACTATTTAATTCATCATCATTTAATTGAGAATCATTTGTTATATCAAAATGATAAAACATATATGAAACAATTGGATGACAATTATTAATTGAACCTTAAGAATTTGAAAATTCAATAAAAAATTTTATTCTTTTTTGCAACAAGAATTTTTACCATAATATTGACTTTTATGTTCAAGTTTTTCTATTTGATGAAACCAATCAAAAAATCGATTACGTAATTCACGATGAACTGATCGTGGACATTGATCAAATTCTAAATGAATAACAATCATGATTTTGATTTGTAATCATAAACAACAAACACCGTTTTTTTTCTCTATGTATTCATATCAATAAAGTCAAACGTATGATTTTACTAACAAGAAAATATCCTCATAATGATCAGTTGATTATTCTCTTATGTTGAATTGATTTAAAAATTGAATATAAAAAAAATGGTAACACCACAGTTGAGCCTCCGACAATTGAGCCCCGACAGTTGAGCCCCGACAAATGAGCCCCCGACAAATGAGCCCTCGACAGATGAGCCCACCGACAGTTGAGCCTACCGACAGTTGAGCTCCCGACAAATGAGCCTCGTAGGAGAAACAGATGAGAGAAATATAAAAATCAATATTAGATAAATTAGTGATCCAATCTTAAAAAAAATGTGGAAACATGCGACATCTTATGG